TTCCCACCTTGAATGTAGGCTATTGTTCATTTTTAGTTAAATAAATACTAAAATAACAAGGTATTTGCCATATAATGGGATTCATAGATTACATATTTAGGAAGAAGTTCATGTACCATAGAGTGCCGCAGATAGTAGATAATCAATGAGTTTAAAAGTGTTTCTGTGTTTACTATTTTCCTCTTCCTTATACCACTATGCAGGTGACTCTGGTTGCCACGGCGCCCCTCACTAACCTGGCTGTCGCGGTGTCACTGAACCCAAACTTCACCCAAAAACTGAAGGCACTCTACATCATGGGAGGAAACACTGAATGTAAGATACCTGTGTGTGTGTGTGTGTGTGTGTGTGTGTGTGTGTGTGTCTGTGTGTGTGTATGTGTGTGTGTGTGTGTGTGTACATCAACTGCTCTTGTTTAACTCTGTGTGTGTATGTGTGTGTGTATGTGTGTGTGTGTGTGTGTGTGTGTGTGTGTGTGTGTGTGTGTACATCAACTGCTCTTGTTTAACTGTGTGTGTGTGTGTGTGTGTGTGTGTGTGTGTGTGTGTGTGTGTGTGTGTCTGTGTGTGTGTGTATGTGTGTGTGTGTGTGTGTACATCAACTGCTCTTGTTTAACTCTGTGTGAGTATGTGTGTGTGTATGTGTGTGTGTGTGTGTGTACATCAACTGCTCTTGTTTAACTGTGTGTGTGTGTGTGTGTGTGTGTGTGTGTGTGTGTGTGTGTGTGTGTGTGTGTGTGTGTGTGTGTGTGTGTGTGTGTGTGTGTGTGTGTGTGTGTGTGTGTGTGTGTGTGTGTGTGTGTGTGTGTGCAGCCAGAGGTAACACTACAGTGTGTGGAGAGTTTAACTTCGTGGCTGACTCCGAGGCGGCCTACATCGTGTTGGACCGCTACACCTGCCCCACCTACATCGCCACCTGGGAGTTCAGCTGCAGGAACATCCTGCCCTGGGTGAGGCACTATATATGTATTCATTTATTTAATCAAACAACAACATAATGGACTTATTTCAGTGTTGTTGAAGTTAAACTGCTGACTTACTTCCTGTCTTTTTGTCTCCCTCAGTCTTTCTGCGACACTTGGCTGGCACAGGACACAGCCAAGGCTCGATTCATGGAGGAGATCTACGCCCACACCAGGAAGGTATGACAGCCTTCTCTTATTCAATACACTGAGAGAGATAACCTGCCTCTGAATAGTAGTAGAGTAGACGTATAAAGTAGAAGGAAATATAAATACTCAAGTTAGGATACTTCTGTATGCCAAAGTTGTACTTGATTAAATGTACTGTTTATCACTGTTGTATGACTTGTTGTGGGACTGAAGATGGAAATTAGCTTCTGGTTAAATCTGTCATAGTCCTTGTTTAATAGATATAAATACTATCTGTCCCTGCAGATGGTGCAGACTGAGCGGTACCAGAAGGAGCTGATGTCAGGCCCGGGCTTCAACACCTGTGACTGCTACGCCATGGCAGCAGCCATCGACGACACCCTGCTGACGGAGAGTGACGAGGTTTTAAAATACAGCTTTCCTATTTGATATCTCTATTTTCAGCAGAAGGGGCGGGCGTTGCAGTTTTAGACTTTTTTTGTGTATCTTCCTCATGCAGGTTGCAGTCACGGTGGAGCTGGAGGGGACCCACACCCGAGGCATGATGGTGCTGGACTACATGGACCTGCTGAAGAAGAAGCACAAGGTCTTCATCATGAAGAAAGTCAACGAGGAGAAGTTCAAACGACTGCTGATGAATGCACTGAAATAGTATCTGAGACAACTCACATTATAGCCTCATCGTATTAGAGTCAAACCCTTAAAACATATTGTAACATTATTCCAAACCTTTGTGAAACATTGCAGGAGGAGAAAACAATGCAGCTTTCCTGCTTGAGCAGTAAACATTTTTGTCATATTATTCCTGGCAGTATAATTAGTATGTATCTGTTGCCTTTTATAACCATTATGTACCTCAAAATATTAAATATGAGATGATGACTTGATTTGTACGTTCCTGATATTTCATTTCATTTGAAAACGACAGCATCTATCAGACTTTAGTATATAATCCTTTGCCTGCTATTGATTTCCAAGAAACACACACTTGTAAAACACACCCTGGTGGGAGGTTTGAGCATTACACACTTGTTTGGAATAGGATTCATCATTTATTTCCAGAGAAAGTCAAACCAAAGTAACCCAAATTAATAAAACCTTTTATTGAAAGTGCTCAGGAATGTACACTTCATTCAGAGAAAGGAAGAAAGAAAAGTGTCCATCCCATGTCCCTCTACTTTCTCTTCAACAAGCAGGATTTATTTTTAAAGAAAAGAAACAACGCTCTTCAGAAACAATCATCTGTGTATATATTACAACCTGCCAGAAATATTTACAAATCATACAAAAAGAAACAACAATAAAAGCTGCGTCCCATCCGTCGTCCTGTTTTCTGTAACTAGTCCAAACACATCCTCAGAGCTCCGAATCCACACCAGAGCCAGACAGAAAATCAACAGAGAGTGGAGCAGCTCGTCTTTCGACTCGAGTCCTTCCCACAGACTGGAAGAAGCTGGAGATTCATTGGTTTGTGTGTCCCGCCTCAGAGACAAAAGCCCCCTACTGCACCCTGTACTTGTAGAACCAGCAGAGGCCCTGTGTGAAGTTCCAGCCCAGAGACAAGGAGAGGATGTAGACGATGACGAGCAGAGCGAAGGGGTACAGCAGCGCCACCGTGTTCTTCAGGAAGGGAAGAGCTGTGGGGATAACAGAGTATAAAAACATCAGACAGTGAACAGTCACAGTGAAATGTACACTACGTTCCTACTCCTTTAGAGCAAACACAGTGTGTTCGTTAACCCTACATGGACATAAACACTCCAGACAATAAAATAAAATAATAAAAAGTAAGGGCCGTCCCTTCCCAGACATAACCACAACCGCATTAATGGTACCGCTCTGTTTTGTGTCCTACTACAACTTCCTGTTTTAATAGGAAACATAGGCACACTGCCATTTTGTAATTATTACGACTATCAATTACACTGGTGGATTCTGAAATGACCAATTACTATCAAATAAGAAAAATAACATTAAAAGTATCTTATTTTGGCTTGAAAGATAACTGAAACAACTGTTTAGGACTAACCCTAACCCAGAAATTGTGTCCAACGGAGGTGGCGTCTTTTACTGCAAAGTTGGTACTTTAATAGAGACATTACATGACATGTCACTTGTTAGTCGCTTTTATCCAAAGCGACTTACATACTCAATACTGTGGGCAATCCCCACAGGAGCAATTTGGGGTGAAGTGTCTCAGGGACACAACGACATGCTGACTGCACTGGGGTTTGAACCTGTGACCATCTGATCCCCATACCAAGGCTCTATCCACTGCGCCACACGCCTCCACACGAGACAAATTTGAGAATTATCTTTCTCTGTGTATGTGATTATTGTGGGGGAAACTTCTGAAGCAATTGGAGTCAGGACTCAGAGAGACACGAGGAGAGCCGGAGCTTTGATGGCAAACACTGACGGTTTATTTGGAGCTTCGGCTGGAGAATTCACACGACATGTCACGGGGCCACGAGTTGACCACACCATTGAGATGCCACAATCAATTCTGAAGACCCCTGCTGTAGCTCGAGGTTTTAGTTCAGAGTGTAATAATCAACATTCTTCATTAGTTAGACTAAACAGCTGAGGACACTGAATCACATTTGTTGTCGCTTATGGCTCGGGGTCATCTACACCCCGAGAAGGATGTGTTCCAGGTGTCCCACAACAATAACTATCTCTGACTGAGAGCTGCCCGGTCACAAACTGGTAACATCAACAACTTGCTAGGGCAGCCCCTCCTTCAGGGAGATAACGGCTGCTCAAGGTTGGTCAGCTGCGTCAGAGGGCGAAGGAGGACATGCAGGGCAAATTATTCCCCAATAATTATGACTTACCGTTGTATCCCAAGAATGAGATGTAGAGATAATAGCCGATGGCAATCAGCCACGTTGTGTTCCCCACAAAGTATCCTATGAACCAGTCGCTGTTTATTACCACGAGATCTGAAACACACAGGACAAAGAGTAAGTGTTGTGAAAAAGGTGGCAGGTGTTATTCTACAATAGCAATAATATGAATTGCTGATGTGGTATTTTATAATAAAAAATGTAAAAAATACAAACTAATCAGAATAGTGTCCTTAATCTTCATTTAACACATACAATGCACCTTTAATTGCACACAAAAACATTTAAAAAGCCTTTTAATTTGATGAAGGTATTTCCGACACACTGCTATAACACACAAAGGGTCACTATCTACTCACGGTTTATGAAGAACAGCTGCAGGAAATGCAGGATGATGAGAAGAGGAAAGAAAGCATTGAGGTGAACATCGAATGCGTAGCCCCACTCCACATCAAAGTTTCTGCCTGGCTGCTTCAGGAGGTACTTGTTGGTGATAAACCTGGGGGAAACAAAACGATGTTTCAGATTCAGGAGAGGGTCCATCTGTACAGGCAGTTACACAAAAGTATGCCTCAATGCTACTCTTTACTTCCATCTTATATAGGCAAACTCACCACATGAGGGTTGATATGAAAAGACCGACTCCTATACAGTCGACTAAAACCACCCACAGCAGCAGCTTCAGGGTCTCCACCACTCCCATGTCCAGCACCAGACCAAAGCCTATTGTCGACACTGTGGAGGAATAAAAGGAGTGTTCAGCCATCGTAGTAAAGTTACAACATCTTGTCTACTGTTGGGAAAATACTGAATGTACTCTTCCAATATGAGAGTAACATGATAACAAAGGTATCCCAACTGTAGCTGTGTACATGACAGGATGTATGATTACCTAGAAGAGCATCAGGACTGTTTGAGGCATATGATAGCTATGTGATTAACATGATGATTCAGCCTCTATGGAGATAGACATATGACAAGCATGATCATTTCTGACGTGGAGCTAATCTGAAGTAAACATTGAATACTGCTTTCTATTCCTCCATCTTGTGACTGTGTAACTCCCTCTCTTGGATATCAGCATGTGAAGGACACTGTTCAGGAACTAGTTGATGCTCTGTATGTGACTTCCATTCTGGAGAGGATCACAAATACATGGATCCTGAGATTGAAGCTCAAGCCGGGGACCAGGGAGATTTTCCTAACATCTACAATCGAGTATAAACTTACCACAGAGCCAGATGCCGAGCAGGACCAGGAAGGCCGGGTCGTCCCTCGCCCACTGGTCCTTGGTCTGTTTCCTGTAGTGGAAGTTGCGGTAGACTCTCTGTGGCGACGTAAACAAGTAAAGCATCTGCCAAATGGCAAACTGAAAGTCCATCTGCTTGAAATGGAGCAGCCGCCGCAGGTACTTGTAGCGTTTGAATCCCGCCGTGTGACGTGCAGCATCTCTTGAGTCGAGGGCGCCGTTGCTTTGCGGCGAAGTGGTCGGCAACATCCTGCTAAATATCAAATGAAAAGTAAATACAAGCAGGGAAGATATAGAAGAAGAAGGAAGACAGGTTGATTTGCTATACACATGCTTATGGTGGAGAAGGACATGTTTTGAGAATGTGTATACTTGATTTAATCAATTAAGCATATTATGAATGATATATGATCAAGATTGTTCCAAGGTAAAATGCATTTAAACACAGTAGCGCATGATTATGTAAGTAATAATGATGTTAAAAACATTATATTGCACATAATATCTATATTTTAATCCAATCTTCACAGTGACATAGTTGCTGTATTTATAGTTGGTAAGCCATACAGATACACAGTCCTGTAGTTCACATTTCTATGATATACTCTATAAATCTATTACATGTGTCCTATAACATAATATCAATGCAAAGTGAATACAAAAGAATGACAACAGAGAAACAGAGGATGCTAATGTGATGTTACACATAAACTATGTAAGAAAAAACACAAACATGCTTATTTAATTATATGTTATTAAATGAAACACCTAAACTAGGACATTTGTACCCCTAGCAAGCATTGCTATAATATAATGTTGTTGTTAGTTGACGCTAACAACACAGGTATCACTGTTAGCTTGATGCTAACTAGTTTAATGAAAAGAGAAGGCCTAGTCAGGTTTATTTGTAAAAAAACTTGGGGAAAACGAAGCAGTGACTATTTTTTATAAGCTAAACAACTAAACGTATTTACTCTGAATATTATTCACCTGCTTTTGCTGAAAAAGCTCCAACTCTTTGCTCGCTTTCTGTAGCTGTTTGCTTCCTGAACTGTCGCGAAGATGAACACGTAGAAACTTCCGGTATCCGGCGGTGCATCATGGGAAATGTAGTAAAGGGTGGACATCAGGATTTCATGCAGTGATGTAATCTGCTGCCTGTGATGATGTAATCTAATTTAAAAAAAAATGTATTTAAATATAAAGAAAGAAATATAAAGAAAATAGTGATTAAATAAGACAAGGAAACATTTCAAGTAAAATTATTGATCAAATATTTATTGTGAAATGTTAACCTTATTTGAAACGGAAGTAGGACAACATTCTACTTCCGCTACCCAACGCCATAGATTTCGACTGGTGTTAAAAACTCTGATAACCGCTGTTCTGGTCAAGAAGGCCAAATAGCGAAAGGTAAGAAACTAAAACACTTTATACACTTACTAATGTTTAAATGCGTTTGTTATTAATTTGCAAAGCGAGTGTAAATGTCTGTATTTGACCTCATTATCCCTTTTAACCCTCTTACAACATTGCAATGCCCGTGTCCTTGAGTGCTCTTAGCTAACAGCTAGCCTGCAAGCAATGAGTCCTTAGGAAGGTCCAAGCTACCTATTAGCTTTTATCCTATTGACATCACTTAAAACCTGTATAAAACATGCATTAACATTTAGTTTTGTCAGTATGTTTCCGCACTGTGCATAACCTCCTTGAAACGTGTACCTACCTAGCTGGTTGAGTAACAGCATCATTGTTGTTGACAGTGACAGCTAATAGCTAACACTGCCACTGAGTTATACTGTGATATATTTGTTAAATCAGTCCAGTGAAAGTGACCTATATACATGTTTGGAAAAGGGAGCAAGGTCATTTATTTAATTCTTCCTCAATCTGAATTAATAAAAGCATCTTATATCAGGCTTTGGGTTTAACAATAGAATCAATACAACTTGAAAAAAATGAACATAATAATATAAATTAGACCTGCAGCTATGACTTGCATACAATCTGAGCATTGCAAAGTTGTTGCCATAATTATTAGCCATGATAGAATAAGTGAGCTACCTATTTTTGCATAACTGATTGATTTTGTACACACATTATGGATCCAAGACATTTAATCTCAAAGGCAAATTGGAGCACTGCATATTATGTGCAGTACAAATACAATGACAGCTTCACAGCTCTATTTGTGTTGGTAGAGCCGGAACAATTAGTAAAAATGTGTTGATCAACAGAAATTATGTAGGAATAAGATTAGCTTATATATTAACTTTTTGTTTTCCTCTCAGTCATGTTGCGACTGCCATCCGTTGGGCGGGCTCTCGCCACAGCTGCCAAGAGCAGCATGGCACGCAACACTGGTAAGACTTATTTATATTCATTTAATTGTTTTCAACTTGCTATGTTTCAGTGTATCAGATAACTGTCCGTAGTGTATACGATTTTCATAAGCATCGCATGAATAGTTTCCTTTTAATATTTCAATCTACTTCCATTTTATAACTTGTCTCGTGCTTCAGATAAAATCAAAAAAATGTGGATTAATTGTATTTGTCTGGATTAGTTCCTGTGCGTGCTGCCAGCAACATGGTGGAAGTGTTTGTTGACGGGAAATCCCTGGAGGTGGAGACTGGAACAACAGTGCTGCAGGTAGGAAACATCAGATGGATTTACTGAAACCACAACAGATGTTTCATATGTTCTTCTCCCACTTAATCTTGTTTCCTTTTCCCCATCAGGCCTGTGAGAAAGCAGGAATCCAGATCCCCAGGTTCTGTTACCATGAGCGTCTCTCAGTGGCGGGAAACTGTCGTATGTGTCTGGTGGAGATCGAGAGAGTTGTAAAGGTAACCTAAGAGCCTCTGATTGGTCAGGAAGCAGAGTGATATAGTCACCAAAGTGCATTTAAGTGTGTCTAATTTCTAATTGACATGTGTGTCTGCTTCTCAGCCGGTAGCAGCCTGTGCTATGCCCGTCATGAAGGGCTGGAACATCCTCACCAACTCAGAAAAGACACGCAAAGCCAGGTACAAAAAATCACATATTCAAATGTATTCGTACACAACTTTCTTTTACATTTCACCTAAGTTCAGCCGCTATTGAAACTGGCCTTATAAATGTGTGTGTGTCTCATCAGAGAGGGAGTGATGGAGTTCCTGTTGGCAAACCACCCACTGGATTGTCCCATTTGTGATCAAGGAGGAGAGTGTGACTTACAGGTACGTTTATAACCACTTCACTTCTCCCACGTCATACCATTTCATGATTTCTCCTGTGATAACACTCTTGCCTGCTGTGCTCTCAGGATCAGTCCATGCAGTTTGGTTCTGACCGCAGTCGTTTCACAGAAGGGAAGCGAGCGGTGGAGGACAAGAACATCGGGCCGCTCATCAAAACCATCATGACCCGCTGCATCCAGTGCACACGCTGTGTCCGGTACGAGCAATATAAAAATCCATATTTATATCAAACAGTAAGTTTAATACAAGAGATCCTCTAACGGCACGTTCATGCATCCCTGTGTAGTTTTGCCAGCGAGATCGCAGGTGTTGAAGACCTGGGAACAACAGGAAGAGGAAACAACCTGCAGATCGGGACGTACGTGGAGAAGATGTTCATGTCCGAGCTTTCAGGCAACGTCATCGATATCTGTCCTGTCGGAGCGCTCACCTCCAAACCCTACGCTTTCACCTCTCGACCCTGGGAGACCAGGTAGGACACGATTTGATACAATAGTCATACAAAAAACAAGAGGCGAATCCTTCAATTTTAAGGCATTTTGGTTAGTTAGTCAATGTGCTAGTCTTTGTGTCTGATTCTGCCATATTGTTTTATTCAACTTGTTTTTTTTGCTGCCTTTTGCAGGAAAACTGAGTCGATCGACGTGCTGGATGCTGTTGGCAGTAACATCCTGGTGAGCACAAGAGGCGGGGAGGTGATGAGGGTGATGCCCAGGCTGAACGAAGACATCAACGAAGAATGGATCTCTGACAAGACCAGGTAAAATACAGACCCACGCCAAAACCATTAGCATGTTTATGACTGAATTTAAGAAGTGAAATCAACGTGATGTCGGCAGAAACATCAGGTTTTACTTAATCCATTAAAACGTCAGATGTAGCTGGACTTAGCATAACAAACTAACCCCAAATATGTGTCTTCAGGTTTGCATATGATGGTCTGAAGAGGCAGAGGTTGACCCAGCCAATGGTGAAGGACGATGCAGGTCAGCTGACCGCGACCACCTGGGAGGACGCTCTCACTCGTGTTGCTGGAGCAGTAAGTGTTTGTTTGCGTCGTTTATATAGGAGACATGTCATTTCATGCCTTGTTATTCATGCATCTATTGGAGTCTGTTTGTTTAAATATGTGTGTGTGTGTTTGTAGCTTCAGAGCGTGCAGGGCAATGAGGTAGCAGCGATCGCAGGAGGGATGGCTGACGCTGAAACTCTGGTCTCTCTCAAAGACCTGCTCAACAGACTGGACTCGGAGAACCTCTGCACTGAGGAAGTCTTCCCGATGTCTGGGGCCGGGTAAGACTACGTTTATAATTCGACGTAATAGAAACGGCTTGAATTTGAACTTCTGTAAAGCCTAGTTCTCTTTATAAAAGATCTCAGTATTGTCACAGTAATTAACCCTAATCCACATCTCACAGTGTGCTTTATTGGGTCCTTAATTAAGACATATTAAGGCCTGGAGAGTCCTTTTTGAAGTCGATATTTAACACTTCTCTTCCTCCCTCTGCAGCACTGACCTTCGCTCCAACTACCTGCTGAATTCTCGTATCACCGGCGTCGAGGAGTGTGACCTGCTGCTGCTCGTAGGAACCAACCCTCGCTACGAAGCCCCGCTGTTCAACGCCCGCATCCGCAAGAGGTACACTCACACATCCCTCTTTGAAATTACCAGTTAATTTCTCCTCATTGAAACAGCTTCAATGCAGCAAACATATACGTTATTCCTTCTGTATTCGGTCTCTGCTTCTACTGGATAAAATCAATGTAATGTAATCAATATAAATTCCCTTTCCCTGTCTTTCTTTGCCAGTTGGCTCCATAATGAGCTGCGTGTCGCCATGGTCGGTCACAATGTTGATCTGAGCTTCACATACGATCATCTGGGAGAGGAGACCTCAGTCCTGAAGGAGCTCGCTAACGGCACACACCCCTTCTGCGAGGTAATACCCTCATTCTCAATCTGACTGTGGTGCTGATTTATGAACTGGTTTGTTTTTATGGGAGCGCTCAGGTGAATTTCTTTGGCATCTTTTACTTGATTTCTCAACCTCTTGTCTCCAGGTCCTCTCTGCTGCTAAGCGTCCGGTCGTGGTCGTGGGCAGCAGCGCTCTGCAGAGGGAAGACGGAGCTGCTATTCTGAGCGTCGTCTCCTCCATCGCTCAGAACGCAAGAACCAGCAGTGGAGTGGAGGAGGGGTGGAAAGTCCTCAATGTCCTGCACAGGTACAACTCCACAATCCTCATTAGAGTGGACTCATTTGAAGCCGTCAACACGAATCAATTACCTTCTCATGCCAATTTAAATGTAGTTATTCACAGCTATTTTGGCCTAATTTCAAAGGAGAATAACTAGAACAAGAGTTTAATTTCTTCAGATTTATTTGCACGTAAAGCTACTTAGATTTCATACGTTTCATCGTTGATTCTTGATCCTATTTTGTGTGTGTGTGTGTGTGTGTGTGTGTGTGTGTGCAGAGTTGCCTCTCAGGTGGCAGCGTTGGACCTCGGCTACAAGGCGGGGGTTGACGCCATCAGAGCGAATCCTCCCAAAGTGCTGTTCCTGCTGGGAGCCGACGCCGGCTGCATCACCAGAGCCGACCTGCCCAAAGACAGCCTCATCATCTACCAAGGTACACACATACAATACAATACAATACAATACAATACCATACCATACATACATACATATATCCAGTGGTAACCATGAGAGAGAAAGTATATTAAAGATTTTAAACTCCTCCAGGTCATCATGGTGACGTAGGAGCACCGATGGCAGACATCATCCTCCCCGGCGCTGCGTACACGGAGAAAAACGCCACGTATGTGAACACTGAGGGGCGGAGCCAGCACACCCGGCTGGCCGTCAGCGCGCCGGGGATGGCGAGAGAGGACTGGAAGATCATCAGAGCCGTGTCTGAGGTGAGCAGGAAGTCACTCATTGGTGAACATGGGAGATGTAATAAACTCAAAACCCATCTCTTTGCATTTCCATCACCTAGTTTCAACATCAGCATCACTTCAGTCACATGCTCTTATCACATGGCAATACTTATGGTGTTGTGTAATGTTTTTATAATTGTTATGCTTAAGCTATTACAACTTTTCTGTCATTAAAAATGTGCTTTGATTTGTCACTTTCACACAGAAAATGACTTATTGTTTATTTAATGTTTTTTACAACAGAATTGTAGTTGTAAAAGTGCAAAGTGACCAAAATAAGGAATACAAAGCATTTTAAAATAGTCAAACATAATGTTTATATTTAAATTTACCACAAATGTAATGAACATGAATGTGTGTGTGCAGCTGGCCGGTGTGACGCTGCCCTACGACTCTGTGGAGGAGGTCCGCTCCAGACTCGCCGAGGTCTCTCCCAACCTGGTCCGTTATGACGACGTCGAGGAGGCGAACTACTTCAAACAGGCTAATGAACTCGCCCAGGTACACACACACACACACACACACACACACACACACACACACACACACACACACACACACACACACACACACACACACACACACACACACACACACACACACACATCCATAGAGTATAATGCCAAAGAAAGAATAAGTAAATTATCTCTTTATCGTGGTTCTGCAGGCTGTGAACCAGGAGCTCATCGCTTCTCCTCTGGTTCCACCTCAGCTCTCAGCAAAGGACTTCTACATGACAGGTGAGTGTTTTTAAAATAGGGGATACACAGGAAACATTAAGAAATGTCCAATAATCCTCTTTTGTTTCTCTGTGTCCAGACTCGATCAGCAGGGCGTCCCAGACGATGGCTAAATGTGTGAAAGCCGTGACAGAAGGATCGGCCGCCGTCGACGAGCCGTCAGTCTGCTGAACAGCACAACAATAAACTCTACTCTGAAACACACACACACACACACACACACACACACACTTCTCTGAACCAACTCGGTGTCGCGTCATAATTTAAAGTTGTCCTTGATGCTTGTACTATACTCTTAGATCCTTTCCACTCCTGTGAGCAAGCTTTATTGAATAACGTGTATAGAGAGAACGTATTAAATATGAATAAAATCTTACAAATGCCATTAATCCAGTTTGGGTGGTTTCTATTTATTGCATTTCTTAACATAACCGATTTTACTAATGTGTTCCTAACTTCTGCCCCTTCAAGAGAAAACATATTTACCTCAATGATTCAAGTTGTCTTCATTTCTTTTTGACTTTCCAGGAAGCCAAACATTCTCTCGTAAAATATGCTCTAATCTGGCCGCTTCTAGATCTGATGACACTCAGGAGGCCTGAATAAAAAGCAGATTTGCCAAATCCAGAGGTTAGCTCGGGGTCACAGCAAGACAGGACGTTAAAAGCTAAGAACTTAAGCAGGAACGTTGAGATTTAAGTTGTACTTTTAGGTGTATTTGCTCACGCTTGTAGTTGAAGTTGTTGAGGTTTTCTAGGCATCTGTCTGTTATTCTAATGATGAACAAGAAATATTTGTATGTATTTTTTCTCATGCCTGTCATTAAAACTCCTTTGTAGGTGTCTTCAACTTTATCAAAATACTTAAAAGGCATGAGCTACAGATACTCTTTTTGTCAAGGCATACACCAAGTAACTGGTCTCAAAAAGCATAGTAGAGATGGTAGGAAAATAATAGACTTTGGGGGGTGATATAAACTGTTCAGATGTTATCTTCAGCTCTGGATTGCCATCACACTTGTGGAATGATTGGAAGTCCTTGAAAGTCCCGTAAGAGTTTAAATGGTGTCTTAAATAGATCATAAGTGCTTACAGGGGTCTGGAGTTAGCTCCTCCAGACAAATGGCTCTTGTCATATACTGTTCCCTAAAAGAGAGAGAGCTCCTATAACCACACACACACACACACACACACACACACACACACGGAAAAGAGAGAAGACAGTCCCGTCTCTTCATTCCTGTCTGCTCAGTGTCTGAAGACAGTGAGTTCCTTATTTTACTCGTCTCCTTATCTGGAATTTATTTCTTCTTAAAGGTCAGTATGTTCGCAACCCTTACGCTTATTTTTACGAGGTCACTTTTTACTTAATAGTTTTGTGGTGAGGCTTTACATTTGACTTCTCATTTCTCCTCTTCAGGGTTTTCATGCAGCGACAGAGGACTAACATTTGACCCAACAGGACGATGGTTCCAGTTAAACTCCTCATTCTTGGATCTCAAAACTCTGGAAAAACAGGTAAACAAATGGAACAACAAACACAGGTAGACGGGAAGAGTCTTTGGATGAGTAACAGTAGCTTAGGTCACATGTTTTCCACAGTTTAGGCACGTAAAAGAGGTTAAGTTTAGGGTTACATTTCGGTCACGGTTTAAAGGGTTTTTCTAAATATGGAAACCTCACAAAGGTCTAACGCTGACCTCTCCTCACAAGCTCTAAAAATGGACCCGGACAATGCTGTTTAAGCCTTTAAAATCAAATGAGATAGCGAGTAGATACATTATAGAGGATTAATCTCAATAGGACAACTTATTAAAGATGATATTTGGTTACTGATTTCAACCTAAACTGTATGGATTTCTGGACACAGCCACATTAAAAGCACCTTACACATACACCAGAACACACATTATCATATTAAAATGTATGTGTGTGTGTGTGATAACTGCTACAGGACACTAACTTCAGATTCATTTCATAAAAGTTTATCGGATGTTTCAGAAAAGCCATAATTTCAGGCTCAAAACATTTACTTTAAAGCCAAGTAAATCTCCAACAACAGCTTGAAGGAGCCTAAATAACTTTTTAGCGCGTCCTGCCAAAGGGATACTCAGAGAGCTCTCACGCTGCAGACAAAGACGTCAAACAAACGCTCCAGACTCCTTCCACCCAAACACAGAGAAAGCACTTTTGTTTAAAGAAGGCAGGTAGCGTTACTAAGAGGATAATTCTCAAAGGAAGTTTGTGTCTCTTTGTGTCTGCAGCTCTGTGTGTTCGATTCATTACCAAGCGCTTCATTGGGGAATACGACCATAAAAAAGGTACATATGTGTGACTGTAATCATTGTTGCCATAGGAGAAGTAATTGGACCATGCTCATGGGATTAAAATAATACAATATGTGTGTTTTTCCACAGAGGTGACCTACAGGTGCAGTCGGGTGGTGGACCAGGAAGCTGTTGATCTGGAGATTTTGGATTTAGCTTGTAAGGTAATTGTTGTAACTTGTAAGTCTTGTAACAGGTCATTAGATTTAAGATACCAAGAAAAACAACCTTGATAGTTTCATACTACGTTCCTGGCAAGAAAAATGAATGTTCACTCCATTTGATTGAGTTATGTGTGTTTTATTATAAAGCATCTGGAGTCATTCTGGGCTGCCATTACAACAGAAAATTGTATTCAAAACTGAGTCCTGACTAAACTTTGAGATATATAACTCCATCAACCTGTTTTCCTCCGATCTTAACAAATATATTGTCAACATTTCTGCTTTGTTTTTGACTCAAATTGATGTTAAATTATGAGTAAATTAAGTCTATTGATCATAAATGCCAGAAGAATATATGTAAAACTTGTGGCAAGTAGTTGTCTTTAGAGGTGTACCCCAGATGTATGTTGTGATTTAAACTATAAGCTTAGTTAACTATCAAACTACGACAAAAATGGCACAGTTGACGGCAAGACAACACAACGCGTATTTTCCAAAATGTCAAACTTTTTCAATTGTTTGCACCATTAAATCTACATTTGATAATCTAATTACCATGATTCACATGACATGATGTGGCAAATGGGATGCAAGATGACTTGATATGACCATAACGTATAGAAAGTGGTGTTTTAATAAGGTGATCCTCCTGCAGGACAACTGTGCAGCCTCTCTGGAGGCGTCGCTCCGCTGGGCCGACGGCTTCTTGCTGCTCTACTCCATCACACAGCGCCTCAGCTTCCTGGAGGTTCCTCACCTCAAGAAACTCATTGACCAAACCAAGCAGTGTCTGGGTAGGTGGAGGAACTCACTCATCACCGGCTGCATGTGTTAAAACATGTTTGGACAGGAGTTCAGTAAACTTAATGTGTGATCTAGAGACAACTAACTAACCAGAACAGCAGCTGGTGAACTGGTGACCCAGACCTTTATAAAAACAGTGGGTTCACTGTGTTTGTCTCTGCTCTAACTCTGTCTGTCCTCTGTCTATTGTCACCTTGTACACACACACACACACACACACACACACACACACACACACACACTGATGCACAGATTATATAAACCATGTTTGGTAGCAAGACGTGTGATCTGTAGGTAACGCCTGCCAGAGCTCCATTGTTTATTGTCACTTTATTTTAGTGTGTGTGTGTGTGTGTGTGTGTGTGTGTGTGTGTGTGTGTGTGTGTGTGTGTGTGTGTGTGTGTGTGTGTGTGTGTGTGTGTGTGTGTGTGTGTGTGTGTGTGTGTGTGTGTGTGTGTGTGTGTGTGTGTGTGTGTGTGTGTGTGTGTGTGTGTGTGTGTGTGTGTGTGTGTGTGTCAGTTGTTCCTACAGTGCTGGTAGCCAATAAAGCGGACCTGGAACTCGGCAGGGAGGTCACAACAGAGGAAGGACAGAGACTGGCCAAGGATTTAAGGTGTGTGTTATTTTGATGAGGGCCTTTAATAAACTAAGTGTGTGTCTGATTAATCTGTGTGTGTGTGTTTATACTGTAGGTGTGGTTTCAGGGAGCTGTCGGTGGCAGAATCTGTTTTAGCTGTGGAAGCCGCCGTGATTCAGCTCATCAGGTTTGGTTAAACTTTATCTCACTTAACTTAACATCTCACAGTTTGCAGAAAAACATATATTGCATATTATATCTGTAATTGTTTGTTTGTTATATCTGCAGGTTGGTGTTGGATCAGCAGCGTCCTCTTCCTGACCGACGCTCCTACATGCTGACTGTTCGCCACGCTCTGACCCGGAAACTGACCCGATCCAAAACCATGCAGTGGTGACGGCAGCGAGAAACCAGTCTGCAGCTATTCCAGTGGGACATTTGAGAAAATGGACTCTTGAAGTGTGAGTTTGCCTGCTTTAAACCTATGAACTCTGTTGACAAGAACACATGGGTGCTGCACACTAAAATATGAAGTTTGAGCGAGACATATATGTGTGTTTAAGAGTTGGAAAGAGCTTCAAAATAGGGAATCAAAGGCAGATGGTGTCTCTTTTTTAAGTTAAATTTCAGACAAACACCAAGTCAATTTTTAAGAAAGTAATATATGGACAGTCAGAGCAGATATACAATGATAAATATACACTTTCTCTCTTATGACAGGCTTTGTTTTTGGTTATTAAAAGGATAAAACAGCTGCACACAGGATATAAATAGGATTATATAATTTTAGGATGCATACAAATAAGTTAGTTGTTATGTGTTTTGTTCTCCAGTAGAGGGCAATACAGGTGCAGCAGACTCACCAGTGTGTCAAATATTTTGGCCACAAACGTATGCATACCTCTGTGCAGTTTGGTATGGAAGAAGCCGACCCAGATATTCCTAATTATAGCAGAGATAATTTACAGAAGAATGGATGCAGGACACAATGAAATGTCAGTGACGTTCATCAGTGTGTGAGTTAAGCAGTCCCTTGTTGCAGCAGGAGAGTGTGTCGATGACCCAACCGAGTGTAAAGAATGGGACTGGCTTTGATTACAGTCTTGGCGTTATTGGACTCTGTATCTCTGTCCTCATCGCTCACTCTGAACTCCTGAACTTTACAATAACGGGAGACATCTGATCTGAGGGAGAAAAAACACAGGAAATAAGACTGACTAAAACAGGAAAGGAAAACATCTTCTTGGGTTTATCCAGCTCAGTTTATCCACACTCTGTAAACTAAATGCTGAAGCTCATGCCACTGGTAAAGGCTTTATGGGAAATGTACTCTCCATCCAACCACCATCATTAGTATTCATCATCTACTCCACCCAACCACCACCAACCAACCACACAACCCCACTGGGCTCCATGTGCAAACACACAGGAAGGGAAATGTGCAGTTAGATAGAAAGTTTAAAGTTACATCCTTAAGATTTTCATGATATCAGACACCATTTTTGATAGTATTTCATTCTACTAAGTGTGATTGTGACTCGATGGTAGTTTTTATTGATTACTCACAGGGTCTGACTTTTTACCACTTATGGATAACACTGTTACCCCAAGTGTTGCCAGATAAGACATGAGGAATTCTTTAAGATAATGAAGTAAAAATGAACTATTTGCCACTAATGAAAAACAAAGAACGAATCTTTGAGGGAGATATTGCTGATTTTTCTTCTGCCAGATTAAATGTTTCCACAAGTCCTCCAATTTATACAAGAAAATATAAGCTTTTTTTTGCATCACATTAGAAATATTCGAGTGAAACTGTTCATACATTTTGAGTTTGAAGTTTAACTTAAGCGAGTAGTTTGATCAAAACACTTTTCTCTATGATGATGGTAAGATTTGATTGTTACTTCTGCCTGAATCTAGTCCATTTTAAAACTGTATTTATTAGTTTTAGCGTTTCCTGCTAGTCTATTGTGCTTTTTTTCTGTACGCCTGAATTCTAATAGCACTTTTTTTATTTCCGGTGAAGTTAATAATTGAATTGTTATGACGGTGGTTGAGGGGATCCTTCAAAAGTCTTGTTTTGGCCTTGACTACTAATTTAATGTTAGCACGGAGCAGAAGTCATAAATATAAAATGTTTAATTAACATTCACCAGCATGAGTGAGTGCTACAGTGAATTTGTTCCAGCCATTTAACAAGGTCAGCACAGAGAGAGAGAGAGAGATATTACATGAGGGTTAAATCTCTAATTGTTCTTGTGTGTGAATTATTGAACAAAAACAATGTGATATTTGTTTGTTTGTGATGTCATCAGATTTCATAGACGGAGACAGAGGAGAGGGACGATGACAACAATGGATGTGTGGCGAGGCGATGACATCACAGCGGTCACCAAGGAGACGAAAGTTCAGAACCCGAGTCACCTCTTCCTCTCAGAATAGAAGATGAGTCATCATCCTCGCATCATCACACCGGGAGCCAATCGGAGCGCTGCGTGTCACCACCTGCATCAACAGACAACAGACCAATCACAGAGCGACGGCTTTTCAATTTTTATACATTTTATGTTCTGAATAAATACATTAATTAAATTAAATGCTCTTTCCGGAACTAGAAGTTTGTAAACAAATAAAATAAACCATATTATAGTATGTATTTCCTTGCCACCACCTCCATGTCAGCTTACTGTCTTTTTCTGCCTTTAACAGTTATTATCGCCCCACAAGTTAAAACTAAATAGGGTTTGTCTCGTGAAAATATTGCTCCACAGTGCCACCAGTGGTCAAACACTCCACAGGGTACCTTTTAATTAGAAGTAGTAAGGTGTACAGTAATCAATAGAAACTCGCCACAGATATACAACACCTTGTTTGTGAGAGAACAACAGATACAGCCTGTCTCGAGATGAGAAAACCTCTGTAAACTGATATCTTGAGAGAGAAAGGACACAGAGAAAAACAGTAATAAGAGATCATAACATGTAACGTGACAGTTATTGACTTTTGTGTGAATAAGAATGGACAGAAAAAGCTGATAGTAATCACCGTGTCACCTCTTACACACCCTCTGATGTTAAGAGAGCCATTGATGCCCGTACCAAATTTCAAGACAATCCATTTGGTAGTTGTAGAGATATCTCAATAAATAAAATGCCCTTCTTACAAACCTCTTTCACGGAAATCTACCCAGATTATGTAACAGGTCACAGCTCTGATACCTGCAGCACAATGGACGGGGTTTTAATCTCTCCATCTCTCTCTCATAGGAGGAGTTATGTGGGGCAGCATGAGGAATGAGATGGGCGAGCCTGAGCAGACATTGAAGCAAAAAAGCGAATTAATTCCTCTTTTGCAGAGAGTGTGTGTGTGTTGTAGCTGCAGGCAATATATCGGGGTGTCGAAACGATCAATCAAAACCGTCCCTACCTTCCTTTTTCATGATTTGTATTTCACACAAGGAGCCTGGCTGATTAGGCTCTAGGTAAAGCTGTACAAGCAAATGTGTGGGTTCACCAAACTTGTTTTAATAAGAATAATAAATCTTTAATTTGTCCCCCCAAGCTAATAGAAAAGGGAGCTATACGTTAGTCGGCTGGTCTGTACATGCCTACACAATCCTGAAATCACCTGTGAGTGTATAGCAGGGTGCAGGCCTTTAATGCAACAACTGTTCTATACATTCAAGTGCATTAAATTGTAAATAATACAAATAATTTATAAAATAAGTAAATATCAATGATTTTCAATTTATATTAAAGGTGAATTCATTCAACCTCTATTAATGTGTGCCCTGTTGACCCCTCTGCAGTTCCTTTTGCAGTTTTTAAACTCATATTTTAATATGCTTTATGCAAAATCATTAAAAAAATGAATCAAACATTTTCACAAATATTTTCAGACAAAATATTGTTGCAAAGGTGGGATAAAATATAAAATAAGTATTATTTCTGTGTATTTTGGGGGGCGTGTTAGTTATTTGAAGCCACGGGGGTGGGGCTTGACTAAATACTCATTGGCTCGTGGGGGGAGGCAAAAACGCACGCGAGCAGAGCGGCTGGTCCTCGCGCACACAGCTGGATGGAAAGCGTTGACTCTTCAGCTGCAGACAGAAGGATGTGAATTATCCACATGTCTCCCAGTTTGTCACTGAAAACAACGCTGTATGGTGTAAATAACGACTGGAAACGAACACAGTTGAATTTTAATGAATTTATCTTGATATTTGCTAACAGTCCAGCCGGCTCCTGAGCTGCAGACAGAAGTCATGATGGAGTCTATCTTAGACAGTTTGGCCGCAGAGAAACTCTATCAGTCCGGAGGGAGCAACCTGTTGGACCTGGAGGAGCTCAGCGACGGAGACTTCCTCACTAACGTGGTGAGTTATTCAGTTATTACTAATATTAAACGTGTCGCAGGTCCAAAATGCACCACTTGTGTCACCAGAAACACACCCCAAAAGTGTGAACAGTCCTCGATATTGTACATGTTTTCCTATGCTATTTTCAGAACACTTTTAAACAAATTATCCTATTGCAAAGTGGTGGGGAAAAGATTGACCATTTCCAAAAGTGGTGAGGACATGACCACAGTTTAAATGACGCCTATGTGCAGTCCATATATTCATAAGTTAAAAAAAACGACCCATTCGGGCCTGTCACTTCTTCTTCTGCTGTATTTAAAGTGCTATAAATTAAAGCACCTCTGCTGCCGGTTTCTCCCGGAGCCGGACCTCAGGAGGGCGGTGTGGGTATTCAGTTCAGGACTTACATCCGGGGCCCTAGTGTGTGTTTAATTGAGCAAACTGTGAGACTTGCATCACAGACACCGGCTGCTGGCGAGTTACTGGTTAACTTGCTAGTGCTGTGTGTGTGTGTGTGTGTGTGTGTGTGTGTGTGTGTTGTGTGTGTGTGTGTGTGTGTGTGTGTGTGTGTTGTGTGTGTGTGTGTGTGTGTGTGTGTGTGTGTTGTGGTGTGTGTGTGTGTGTGTGTGTGTGTGTGTGTGTGTGTGCTGTGTGTGTGTGTGTGTGTGTGTGTGTGTGTGTGTGTGTGTGTGTGTGTGTGTGTGTGTGTGTGTGTGTGTGTGTGTGTGTAGCTCCAGGTGTTGCAGTCCCCAGCAGCAGCAGACCTGCCTATTAACCATGTGTATTGACCTTTAGGCTACATATTAAAACTTAATTCGTTTTCAATTAGCTTCTTCCATCGTTTCCATTAATGAACCCCAAACCCTAATTAAATTAAGACATGTCAGTAATTGATAAAGAAGTTGATAACAACAAGTGATTCTCTTATTTTAAGTATAGTATTTTGATAATCAGTTGATCGTTTCAGTAATATTGAAAGCATAAATGGCCATTTTTCTCTTGTTCTAGTCTGATTACTTGACAACATATTTGGTTGAGTCATTGATAATACAAAACAACTGTATCAATAGTCAATTGCAAGTCTGCAGGCCATGTCTTCTGTGGGTACTTTAAATAAATAGGCTGCTACCAGCTCAATGCTGCTGCAAACTAGTGGTGCAGTAAAACCCCTTTAAAACCACCTGTTGTCACATTAGGTCCTGAGGGCAACAGCTGCATGCATCATCTCCGGTGCACCTGAGGCGTCTTTGATTTACGTAAAGGTGGACCTGTAGCTGTGATTGCATGGAGCAGAACCATGCTCATTAATATAATAATTGCCTTGTTAGATGCATGTAAACGTACAGAGTTGAATCTAATTGTAATGAGAGTAGCTAGGCAGTATCCCATAATGAAAATCAATGTATTCCTCAAAGTGTGCGGTGCACCTCGAGCCACAAAATGCCAAAAGTATCCAGCCATGCCCCATTTGCACGCCATGCTTGACCAAGCTTTGCACTCTTAATTAATGGAAACAGGCTGAGAGCCGTGTCACTGCTGCATAGTGAGAGTGAAATGATAAAGATCCCAATATCAGCAGGAAGTACTCTCGCTTTTTTATGTCATAGCCGTCTCTTTTTCCACTCTTTCACTCCCCCTTTTTGAAAGCACAGGTTTTGAAAGCAGACCTCTATTCTAGTCAGTGAGTCAGCCCAGCAGTCTGCTTGTGGTTTAACCCCCCCCGTCCTTGTTCTAAATAAAGTAGTCCACTCTGCTGTGAAGCCACTAGGCTGGGCTGTACCACTGAGGACATGGGAAAGGATGTCTGAGTACTGAAGGATGGCGTGCTTACACATATTTGAATCCTTTACCTATAATCTGCAGCTGTGTCGTAGGGACAGGTGCAGCATCAGAGACCTCCTTGGTGCTGGGGCTTTGCAAGTAGCATGGATTTTCTGAGCTTTATTGCAAAATAAAAGCAGTGAAATGGAACAAAAACAGTTCACTATGCGGCATAAAACCAAAACAAGGTGCAGAAAGAGGCAAGAGAGAAACTGCAGAGTGGGTGTCAGCTCGTCACCATGAATTACTGTTCCAAATTACTTCATCCAGCTTCAATGTGGGGTTATCTTGCCGTCCATACATTCAGCATTTTGCCTCGTGTAAATGTATTCTGGCAACTTTAGCCCAGACTTGTGCACATCCTTGATTAGATGAAGAGTATAATACATTAGAGTGTGGTTTATTCCATTCAGACAAATGCACATGAACACTTTTTGCATTAATATCTTTGTACAAATGATGGTTAAAGTCCAGAGGATATCATGAATGGAGATCTTCTTTATTTAAGCCATGCTCTATGGTGCAGTACAGCATTTGTTTACCTCCTCATCTTCCTGTTAATAACTAAAAGGAAAGATATCGTGTAAATAAGAAGTATGAGCGGGCATGACAGAGCTGATAGTGATTACTTTAGTGAATCATATCAGCGAGTACATTTCAAGTTATTCTTGAATACATCACTATTCACTTATGGTGAGTCCAGGATATTCAGCCTTTGAACAAATCCAAACTTAAGCCAACATATTTGAGCATAAAGAACGTTTTTCTCTGACTTCCATCGGGTCCAGAAAGTTATCCCATTTCACCTCATGAAAAGTCAGGGTAGAATGGATACCATATATATCATGGCACTTGTTTTTATTAAGACTTACATGTTCCGACCTCAAGATCCCCACACACATGGATTGAACTGTTCAATGTTATTCCTTTGCATAATAATTCCTATTATATGCATGCATTGAAGAAGAGCTCCTAAATCCGGCAGGAGAAATGAGTTGGTCTGCACTGGTTAGACTCAAACACATTCATCCATTATTAGAATTGGGATTTTTTTTTAGTGTTAAGTCATGCCGGACAAATGCAGGGGTGGATACCATGGTTACTGCAACACACCATATTGACCTTTCATTAATGGTCTGTTACCTTGGATCACATCTGAGGGACAATTTCAAAACATGGTGATAATATTGTATGAGTGGAACAAAAATGCTGCAAAACAGTGCTATTCATTTAGTGTAACTATGATGGAGCTGAAACATTAGTCTGTTAATTGACTTGGAAATGTATCAGTGAGATTTTGTTGATACATTGCATATATAAACGTACACACACTTGCAAAAAAGTGAGGTCAAGCAGGGACATTGCAGTGGTTTCTTTTCTGTTAGTAAGAAAATACTTTTAAAAATCTCCGTTGACTTTCTGTCCTCTCCACATGTGTTGTGTTTGTCTACATTTATAATCCATCCCCTCTGTTCTCTCCTTGCTATTCTTTTATTTTTTACTCTCCGTTCAGACCCTGGACTCCAGCTTAAAAAAGACACGCCCCTCTCATTTGCATGCTCGTTGCTGATTGGCCGCTGAGCCTGGAATGTGAGCAGGCATGCAGCAGTGTGTGTGTGTGTGTGTGTGTGTGTGTGTGTGTGTGTGTGTGTGTGTGTGTGTGTGTGTGTGTGTGTGTGTGTGTGTGTGTGTGTGTGTGTGTGTGTGTGTGTGTGTGTGTGTGTGTGTGTGTGTGTGTGTGTGTGTGTGTGTAAAGGAAAATACTCTTCTACTAGTGAACTGAGAACGATAGCTGAGTTCACTTCAGTCTCAAGGCACACACACACACACACACACACACACACACACACACACACACACACACACACACACACACACACACACACACACACACACACACACACACACGCAGTAACCTTAGCTCACTCCTCTCTCAGTTCAAGTGAAGTTAAACACAGCCAACCCGCTGCAGCCGCACGCCACCACATGAAGCCAAATACAGTAGAGACATTTTTTTTTGACACTGCCATTTTCTTATTTTGGGCAGCCAGTGTTATAGGATAATGACATGATGTTTTCAGGTCTCACACAATTTCATTTTACACTATAAAATGTCTCTGTCTCAACCTGCCATTTAGGCTTTTGTTGCCTTTATAATGTCTTCTTCAAACCCAGCTCAACAGCCTGCCAAAGGATTTTCTACAATTAAAAGATTACACTAGTCTTTTTGCAAGATTTAGTCCACTTTACTTTGAAATCCTGCAGAGCTAAACTTAGGCTATGATCTGCAAGACACTTTCTTATAAATCAAACTGATTTTGATTTAGAGAACCCATATGAAATAGATATGAGATATCCACTCAGTCAGTAGTTTGCTTTTTGGTCCTACTATCTCCAGAGGCCAGCGCAGTGTTTATGATATGGCGAAAGTCAAGCTATTTCCTTAAATTGTGGCAGTAGTGATGCAGCAAAATGTAATCACCGTGTGAAAATAAGTTCATGAAGGCGGTCAAACATGACGGTGCATCTCCTGCAGCTTGGCCTCTATGTCTCAGGGTGTAGTAGTAGTAGTAGTAGTAGTAGTAGTAGTAGTAGTAGTAGTAGTAGTAGTAGTATAAGTAGTAGTATAAGTAGTAGTAGTAGTAGTAGTAGTTGTATTAGTAGTAGTAGTAGTAGTAGTAGTAGTAGTAGTAGTAGTAGTTGTATTAGTAGTAGTAGTAGTAGTAGTAGTAGTAGTAGTAGTAGTAGTAGTAGTAGTAGTTGTAGTAGTAGTAGTAGTAGTTGTATTAGTAGTAGTAGTAGTAGTAGTAGTAGTAGTAGTAGTAGTAGTTGTATTAGTAGTAGTAGTAGTAGTAGTAGTAGTAGTAGTAGTAGTAGTAGTTGTATTAGTAGTAGTAGTAGTAGTAGTAGTAGTAGTAGTACCTGCTATGCATCTAAAGTTATAGTTATTTATGAAACCAATTGTGTGTTTATGGCTGCAGAAGTCTGCCAAAAGTTTGTGCTTTTAACATCTTCCGTACTTGAGCAAAGAGGAAAGTTTACATGACAAACGATGACCCTGCACAATAGATACATGAAAGTGATATAGCCGAAGAATAAGCAGAACCAGAACCACTGCATTGGCTCTAAAGTCTGAATTTGAGACTACAGAAGAACATTTTTGTCTGTGTGTTTCCCTTTGGCTTTTACATGATGTTCTGAGGAGTTTACGATGGCTTCCACTGCAGTATCCATGCCATAATGACACAAACCCGTTGGCGTTGCTCTCAGTGCAGTTTGTCCCCGGGCTTTCCTTCATCACTGCATTAGAGAAAGTAAATAATTCTTCACGTGCAGACTAACGTTGGTCCTCTTCTTCCTCTTTCACCTGAGCCTGCAAATGAAAAGAGAGATATGTTGAGACTCCACACTGTTAATTACAGGTGTCACAAAGTCGCTCTCTGCTTTTATAATTGCTGTCTTTCGCAGCTCCTTCCCCGTGTGGTTTACTTCTCAGGACCCATCCCCCCTAATGACACAGCGCCACTGAAATAACCTATTAAAACGGTCTTTTTTAACACTGCTTCCTTCCCTAATGTGATTCTTTTCCCAGCAGAGCGGTCCAGGTAATGAAAGGTCCAGACCTCTGCTCCCCTGCTCCCTCTGAGCAGCAGCTGGTCGTCCAGCAGCCGTAACGCCGACTGACAGCTAGCTTCCTGTCCTAATAACACAACAATAACAGCTCCTGCTATCGCTGCGGTTCAAAGCTGTGCTGTAGATTAGAAAATAAATGCATGAACTTTAATATTTGCCACTGATTAATGTCAGGTTGTGCAGGTTTGATGCAGGTTAGCAGAATCCAATGTTTTGCTGAATGATGACCTTTTCTCTAATCAATTCATTGTTACGAGAACATTATATCGGGTTATCTGCATACATAATAAGGCTGAAATCACTGAGACATGTCTTATAATATTATCCTATTTCTACTGCTGCCAAGTAAGATATGTGTTTGGGTTGATTACCGAAAGACTACAGGCCAGATTTCCATGTGACTTTCCTTGGAAACGATTGCTCAAACGGGGAATATTTGCTTTTAAATAGAATAAACTGATCCATTATGACCCACAGAAATTGTGGAGTTGGATACAAATTATGAGTCACTTTTGTAACATTTTGCAAGATAGGGCTTTTGTGCTGCATTCAAGCGGTGTCAGAATAACTGGGAAATGTGATAATCTAATGATTAGCATGACAGTAAATGGTTTTATTTCTAAAACAAAATGAGAAATCCCAAAAATCAGTGCATAAAAAGATCCATCCATCCCTTTGCATCTTATTCAAATGTCTAATTAACATATTTATGATAGCCAAATTGGAAAGGGAAGGAGATATCAAAGAAACAGTCTGTACTTGCCCGGTCCTGAGAGAAGGAGATCTTATCAGCCAGGATAGTTAAACATGTTGTGTGTAAGTAAAGTCTTCTTGATGTGCCTCGTGTTTACATAATGATCATGTCATGATGGATTAGAGAAAAGATTAGGCTCGGTGAAAGCTACAAAGGGCCACTGATTATTTTAGTCAAATGTCAGGACTGCTAGTAGACACCAACATCATTCCTAACACTGTTGATCTAAGCGTCTACATTTTGGACTTTCCTTTTCTTTTTCCCCTTGCATCAGACCAGTCTCACCCACATTTCTCCACATGGGAAACTTTTCACCGTTTGTTTTTCAGTAGGGCGGTTTAAATGTGACCTATATTACCTAAAAGAACACATTTAAAGGGACGGAATTGTATTATGTGAACATGAAGTGCAGCAGGAGAACAAGGCTTCTCTTTCAGTATTAAATGTTTTTTTAAGGTGTGTTTGATTTGGATTGAGTGAGTTTAATTAGCTTGTGTTTGACAGAGCAAGTAGCTGCAGGATAACTGAGTGAACGCACACACCTTGTTGAGCGGGGCCTGTCAGTTTTATCCTGCAGAGAGCTCTGTTAAGCATTGAGATTCTGTTCAAAAACAGTTATTGTTATGGTTCCTTTTGCAACAAAGACTTTGTGTTTCCTGTGGCTTCTTCAAAGTCAAAGCCAGCCGTTGTTTAGACAGTTGAATGCATTTAACGTAGCAACAATAGCAAGGAAAATAAATACCTTTTATCCAGTATGTGTGAAGTGGCACATGTAAATCCAAACGCAATTTTTGCCTCCACATGTTTCTTTTACACAGCTGCATGTGTTCCAGAGCTTCATCACATGCTTGACCTCCTAAACACACTCACGAGCACACACACACACACACACACTTTGAGATAATGCAAGTGTGAGTGCACATGATTCACACATTTTAAAGCACGTTGCAGAATCTCTTCTTCGCTCTCACTCTTTGCATTTTGACGCTGGAAAGGACATTACTAGGTCTCTTCTAGTAGTGGTGTGAATCCAAAGTAATAAAACGCACCTTTTTCGCAAGTCCAATCCTATTTGTAAATGCCTGAATACCCTTAAAAACGGTTCAAGTTCTTGACTTTCTACAGACAATAAGATTTACTGTACATTGTCAGCTTTTACAAATGGAAAATTGAACTACACACTAACACCTCTAAAACCATTTGCACTCTTAGCCTAATGAAGTCCAAACTAAACATCATAATGTCTTAAGTGCTGGTGCCGCCTATAGCATGCAAAGAGGACAAATAGCCTTTTAATTTTTCTCCAAATTCAGTCAAGAGTTGAAGCTAGTTTCCAGGAATAAAATACTTAAATGTAATTTAGCATTTGTGGTTAATTAAATGGAGTTATTTCTGTCACAGTGTCTGTCTGGAAGCCTCCGAGCAGGGTTTATTTTATCCAATAGGTCCCAATGCAATCCATCTGTGTGTGACTATGTAAGTGTGTGTGCTTTTGTACTGTTTTGAGCATGTTTGATCAACACCAGGGTGACTCATGCTCCAGTGTGTGTGTGTGTGTGTGTGTGTGTGTGTGTGTGTGTGCGTGTGTGTGTGTGTGTGTGTGTGTGCGTGTGTGTGTGTGTGTGTGTGTGTGTGTGTGTGTGTGTGTGTGCGTGTGTGTGTGTGTGTGTGTGTTGTGGTGTGTGTGTGTGTGTGTGTTATAACCAGTTAAATCAGAGCACCATGCTGTCCCAGGCTTCCCAAACATCATCTCTCAGCTCAGTGACTCATCTCATCCAGACTGAGGATGAATCTATCGATATTGAGTGACTCTTCATGCCATGAACTCTGGGTTGTCTGGTTTCTGACTCTGACAGATCTCTCTCTGACTACAACTACTTTGATAATCGATTCAGTCAAGCAAGAATGGCCCTTTTCCCCTTGTTCCAACCTTGTTTTCATGTTCTCCTTGTTTCATATCAATGTAAACAGAATATGTTTTGTATTTTGGAGAACAACACATGTGCAGATATCACCTTGGGCTCTGAGAAACGATGATGATGGAAATACGTTGATATGGTTTAGGACACTGACACTTGTTGCCTCCCATCTTCTTTATATGTCATGTATCTAAAAAAAAAAAGGCATCTTTCATGAGCTAAATAAACAGCTCTGTTCTCAGCTTCTTCTGAAAGAAATCAAATCTTTACAATTGGCGAGACATGAAAAGTACCACAGAACAGATTTTTATAGGAGTGGTAACCATTCCATGGAAAACTGTTGTTTTACTGAATTTCTCTTCATGTTTTCCAGCCATTCTCCGGCGACCAGATGGACGACTTCAGCAGTGAATTATTCAGCAGTTTCTTTGACGACCATCTATTAGAGCGGCCCATCGTGTCAGACAGACCTTCACCTATAAGCATGGATATGGATGACAGCAGCCCAGGTCAGAGCCTCTTTTAATATATAAAATAATACAATGTCACAAAAATGTGTGTGGGTTTGGATCACAGTGGTCGTTCCTTCCAATAACTTTCCCCATATTTCCCCATTATTGACAATAAAAATATCAGAGCAGGTTGGTTTGTGGAGCTCTTCCAACGGCCCTGAAATACAACAAAAGTTTTCCTCTCCGTCACATTTGTATGACCTTATTTCTCCAGACAAACCGCCAAAAGTAAAAAGTAGAAAAAGACCCCAATGCATTATTTGGTTGGATTTCAAAAGCAAAAACTCTGGCTCTGTCTCCCCTATAAAACTAAAATCCAACTATAGAGAGCGAGTGTCTGATGCGAAAGTCTGTGACATCCAAAACTCCTGCTTTTTAGACACAAACACACAACGTTTACCCCTCACTAGCAGAGTACAACTAGGCACTCAGTTGCTAACAAGCTGCACAAATACGCTTCAGAGTTATTGAGCTGTAGCTTCTCACAGTGTGTTGAAGCTGTCAGAGGAATCAGTCTGCAGCACTGCATGTCACACGCATCACTTGAGACGATTTGGTGTCCCTGAGTCACTAGGGCTTTAAAGGGACTCTATTATACACATCTTAAGATTCATATCAGTATGTAGTGTCTCTACTTTAAAGAGTCCTCTCCTGCTGATGTTCAGGTGTATATCAGTATGTAGTGTCTCTACTTTAAAGAGTCCTCTCCTGCTGATGTTCAGGTGTATATCAGGATGTAGTGTCTCTACTTTAAAGAGTCCTCTCCTGCTGATGTTCAGGTGTATATCAGTATGTAGTGTCTCTACTTTAAAGAGTCCTCTCCTGCTGATGTTCAGGTGTATATCAGTATGTAGTGTCTCTACTTTAAAGAGTCCTCTCCTGCTGATGTTCAGGTGTATATCAGTATGTAGTGTCTCTACTTTAAAGAGTCCTCTCCTGCTGATGTTCAGGTGTATATCAGGATGTAGTGTCTCTACTTTAAAGAGTCCTCTCCTGCTGATGTTCAGGTGTATATCAGTATGTAGTGTCTCTACTTTAAAGAGTCCTCTCCTGCTGATGTTCAGGTGTATATCAGTATGTAGTGTCTCTACTTTAAAGAGTCCTCTCCTGCTGATGTTCAGGTGTGTATCAGTATGTAGTGTCTCTACTTTAAAGAGTCCTCTCCTGCTGATGTTCAGGTGTATATCAGTATGTAGTGTCTCTACTTTAAAGAGTCCTCTCCTGCTGATGTTCAGGTGTGTATCAGTATGTAGTGTCTCTACTTTAAAGAGTCCTCTCCTGCTGATGTTCAGGTGTATATCAGTATGTAGTGTCTCTACTTTAAAGAGTCCTCTCCTGCTGATGTTCAGGTGTATATCAGTATGTAGTGTCTCTACTTTAAAGAGTCCTCTCCTGCTGATGTTCAGGTGTATATCAGTATGTAGTGTCTCTACTTTAAAGAGTCCTCTCCTGCTGATGTTCAGGTGTATATCAGTATCTAGTGTCTCTACTTTGACATGTCTCCATGCTTTAATGATCAAAAAGCTCTTTATTTTTCTCATACTTTTCACCCTCTGTCTGAAACCAGAGCCCAGTCTGCTCTGATTGGTTAGCTGGCCGGCTGATGTGATTAGTCAACCAGTTTAGAGATGTCCCGCCCCTTAGCCTATCACGTACAATGTGTTGGAGTGCTAGCCAATAGAAGCCCTCACTTAAATATATTAATAAACACAGCAATGTTTGGATTCCCGTGTCTGAAAAGGGCTTTTGAATCTCACAGATATTCAAGCGGAGCACAGCTACTCTTTAAGTGAAGACTCCGCCCCCCAGAGCCCAGCCCTGTCAATCAAAATGGACCACGAGTCTGGTAGGTCATCCTAATTATAAAGAAATACAAAAATCTTAGCTTTAACTGTCAGTAAACACAGCCAACCTGCTGCTGATGCTGAGTCTGTCTCTTCATCACGCTGTCTGTCCCCCCGGGTTATCTCATTGGCTCAGTGGCTGGATGATGTAATGCTTCACATGCAGTTTGACCCTGTCTGTCAAACAGTAAACTCTCTGATTGGCTGCCATATAACATGTGATGATTGACTTAGCTATTATATTTTATGTTAGAGGTGCCTGTAGGAACAAGTGTCGAATAAAAAATTCTACATATTTTCTGTGTTTCTCTCTGGCTCATCTTCCTCATTATCTCCTCCTGTCTGACTGTCTGACTGACTGTCTGTCTGTCTGTCTGTCTGTCTGTCTGTCTGTCTGTCTGTCTGTCTGTCTGTCTGTCTGTCTGTCTGTCTGTCTGACTGACTGTCTGTCTGTCTGTCTGTCTGTCTGTCTGTCTGTCTGTCTGTCTGTCTGTCTGACTGACTGTCTGTCTGTCTGTCTGTCTGACTGACTGTCTGTCTGTCTGTCTGTCTGTCTATCTGTCTGTCTGTCTGTCTGTCTGTCTGTGCCTCACTGTCTGTCTGACTGTCTGTCTGACTGTCTGTCTCTCCTCCGTTTGTCCCGGGGATCCTGCTGTCTGTCTGAGCAGCTGATCCCAGGCTGAGCAGTTTTCCTCCAGCTAAGCCCTGCCCACCTAACACACACACACACACACACACACACACACACACACACACACACACACACACACACACACACACACACCACACACACACACACACACACACACACATGGACTCACACAACGCTATGACAAGCATATGGTTTTGAGTGTGCAGCTTTAGCCGAAGCCAGCGGAAACTCTCTTTCTCTCCTCTGTCAGGTTATCTCTCTCTGTTCTCCCTTTTCTCTCCTTCTCTTTCTGTCTTAATCCAATTAAATCCACTCTCCTAGGATATCAGCAAAGAAATACACATTGAGAGAAAAAAACCGAACTCCTCTGTTTCCAGTCCAACGCTCTGAACTCGAACATTTATTTAGCCAATAGTTTCCTATTTGGAGAGAATAAAATAAATAAATCCAGATACAATCACTCCAACAATCCAACTCGCACATGTGTGCTTTAGGTTAAATGTGCACCCAAGCTAATGCAAACAGCCTTTTATGAAAACAAGAATGACATATTAAACGGCTAACCCTGAACATAATATATGACCTCATAAAACAAAGCCTTTAGACAGCTTTTATATCAAGGTAGTTCATATTATATTCTCCTCCTTATTGCCTCCGTCTGGAGCTGCAGAACCGTTATCTAAAGCTCACATATGGAGGCGCACATATTATATTCATTTGAATCAATCGGACTGAAGCCAAAATGCATATTTACAACCGACATCTGCTGATACATACTTTGTGGATCCACTGCATAAGTGGAGCGTTATGTCATATTGTATTATACATATATATGTTTATATGTGCCATAAGGTGCATTTTTACGAGCTAAATGTTTGACGAGATAATATACGTTTGAAAGTGAATGAATATATATACTGACTCCTACATGATTACCCTTTCTTATTACAGTTAATATAAAACATGAATTCAGTATGTACAGTTCCACTTAACTTCCAGTTATACTTCCTGGGGAGATATAACTCTTTTCCCTGGATCTGAGAATACATTTTCCATATAATAAGAACCACAGTTTTTCACAGTAACCTAATTTTTGTTGACATTATTCGATCACTTCTGTTGGATTTTGTAATATCTATTTCTGCATTTGTTGGTCCACCTGTTGAATGCACTCTGATTTGGGAATGTAGAATGTTTTGTAATGTAAACAATGCCATTTTAGTATTTAGTATTTCACCTCAATTGTTGCATCGTACAATTTGTATCAGCACATGCTAACAAGCAGGCACATATGCAGACAAGGCAGTAGGTTCTGGCTAAGAATCGGCCATAAACTTGGGGATCTCGGTTCCTGGTATTGGACCGTAATCCCCGGTGACGCAGCAGCAGATCCCGCTGGCAGAGGTTCTGTGTGCTCCACGCTCTTTGTGCTTCTCTCAGCATCCTCAACAATAGAAGCTGCTTCTTGTTTGTCTCGAGGAGTCGGGGTTAATTAACCACCTGGGGATGCCAGAAGTTGCTGACCTTTCAGAAAGCCAGTTTGCTCTGAATGGAGGTGAATCATAGATGTTCTCCTGGATGACAACATGAAGAGCAATTATTGGTCGACCCCAGCTGAATTATGGGTCAGTTTCTCCTGCAGTGGATGCTCAAATTTGGTTGATTTGACAAAAAACCTCTTACCTTTCCTGTCCTCTTTGCCTCTCAGCCTGTGGTCTTCAGTTCTCGGTACTCTTATTCAGTCAGAAAGACGCTGTGTGTTTTTACTACAGCTCCCACTGCGCTGCTCCATCTATCGTTTTAATGTTCCTGCCGTCCCGCTGAGATCAAACACAGTCGCCACCTCTGCTCCTTCACCCCCCGTGACGACTGCCAGGAGCCTCTGGTCGTTACCCCACCATAGGATGTCTTACCTGGGTTTACTAGCCTCAAGAAGAAGACTGTCTTCTATTAACAGCACCCAAAGAGATCCTGTAAAGTAGTGAGGATCAGGTTTTACTTTCACCCACAGCATCTTTGACACAAACACTAAATTATGTTTGAACCCTCTGCACATAGGGATTAATAAAAGCACTTTGTTGCCTTCCTTTGAGCTCAAATTGCTTAAAATATCAATTACAATTTGGTAATATCAGGGGAAAATACCCCCCAAAAATGCAGTAAATAATAAAAAATGTCTTCTTTTCCCCATCATATTATAAAGGACTGCCTTCCTATGCATTCACCTCGCTCCTGGCATTCGTTAAAAATCGGTGGCAGAGGACGTCCAATCAATCTTAACGAGGCAGGAGGCTTAACGAGGCTTAACGAGGCTCCGAGGAGCAGCGGGACCGGCCTCATTAGGAGACGCTTGTGAGGGTCCAACCAGCAGAGAGGATGTGGGGAATCGGTTAATAGAGGACCCACCCCAGAACTGAGTTTATTCCTTATTTCTTTTAATATAATCAGCGATTTTTCAGACATATTCCAGAGCTACCATGCTGATTAGTAGTCAGGGATGGATGCCGGGTTGCCACGATAATATTTGATCATAAGACTGACATGTCGCAGCTCATTAAATCACATTATTATTTTATTATCTGCAGCTGTGTTTTCCATGGTGTGATAAATGATGCCTCAAGCTAATTTAACATGTTACAGCTTCATACTTACAATCACTGTTCATATAGATTGACAATGTTGATATAGCCTGCCGTGATATCAGTTAATAATCAATTACAATATGCTTAACTTTTCCTTAGTTGCAGCTTCTCACATATGATGATGTGTGAGAAGTTGTTGACCTTTGTTTGGACAAAACATGACATTTACAGACATTACCTAAGGCTTAAGGGAGTTAGAAATTATATTTTCCAGTATTTTTCGGCATTTCAAAGAACAAATAATCACACACTCATATAGTACCTACTGCTTTAGGCACTAACACCACAATAATAATGATTTCCACTTCCCTATACGTCTTAATAGTAGTAGTAGATTGCAATGAAGCTTACTGATGTGTGCTCTAGCTATTGCCTCTTGCTGTCAGTGTTGATTATCGTTGACACCACAGCAGTGATTTTGCACCTTAAGGCAGTTTATTTTAGACGATGGAAAGTGATTTGTTTTTAGGATGAACTCTCCTGGCCGTTAGTGACGGATAGGATGAAGCTCACACACCTCCCACCCCCCCCCCCCCCCCCCCCCCCCCCCCCCCCCCCCCGCCTCCTGTTTCCAGCGCGGCTTGTAAACTTCAGAGCATTTTACCGGCAGACATGTTGCTAGGAAACCAGGAGGTGATTAAAATGACGTCCACTCACTCACACACACACACACACACACACACACACACACACACACACACACACACACACACACACACACACACACACACACACACACACACACACACACACACACACACACACACGTTGTCTTGTTAAACGGCTGCTGCTCTCTTTCCATGCACCACGGGAGCTTTTTTGGTTGAGTGTGTTGTGACAAACATCAAAGTGTCGGTCCTTTTCTAAAGTTTACAAATGCTGACTCGAGGAAAAACACTTCTCTACCTGCAGCTCCTTTTCACTTTTAATTTGCCACTTAAAACATACTGTTTCTTTTCAATTTAAGGTTGAATGTAAAGTTCTGTTAGGTGGACTTTTGCATAGTAATAAGCTCACTTTTGTGTCCCACGGGTGGATTTAACTAATAAAACTCCCATAATGCAACTCAATTTGATCTCTAATATCACCAACACTGCATCTTTGCAATTCAGGCTTTCTGTTATAAATTAAAAGTCTCAATACCAATTTAACAACGCTGATCCCATGACACAGAATACATGAAACACCTTTCGTGACAGGCTGAGTAAGACTTTCAATGATAAGTAAACTGATCTCCATGTGTAAAATATGCAGAACTCTCCATAAAAACTTTTAAAAATGTATAGATATATTGTTTATTTGGGCCCCTTATAAACACATTGTCCCCTACAGTTTACACGATGAAGTGCAGACGTTTTTCAGTGACTCATGGTGTTGGTTTTCACGGATTATTTTTGCTTCACCGATCCCTGTGACCCTGGTTTGTGGCCGGCGCTGGCAGCCTCCTCTTCCTCCGCCTTTTCATCATCTTGCCCACTAGGACACCAAATAAACCAGAAGAACTGGTGACTAGTTGCCCTGCACTGGCACTTATGTTGCTAAAAATACTTTCTGCAGCTCACACTAGACTAAACAAGGGAGTACCTGTGAGAATCACCTCATTGTGTTTGAGGGAACCTCCTTTAAAATGTTCCCGATTATGCATATTTTCTGCAGTGTTTAAAGGCAGTAGTCGTTTCGTTTCTCGGGACGGATCCTGAACACAAGGTGCAGGTTCAGCCCATCTTTTATTTCAGGGTAGATACAAATTCACTACAGACAAATTATGCACCACAGATGCCAAAGAGATGTTGTCCAGCAGCCTGTAATGACCAGTCTTGTCAGGAAGTGCTCAAATGTTTTGGGGAAGCTCCTTCAAAGTGTGATTTATAAGCTACCAGTTACTTCCCATTGGAAGACCTCCCTGAAGGTCCCGGGAGAGAAATATACCTAGGTTCATTTCTTCAAGTTGCTCTGAGTTTATTCTGCTTTTTAAAAAGGGTGATGAGCTTTCTAGGTTGATCTTAAGATGTTTTAATATTACAGGTGAAGTGTGATATTTTTTATATTTTACATCATGTGTATTTCTGCGTTTATTCCTGATGTTGGGAACAGTCGTTTGCCAACAAAAACCACTAACTAACCTTCTCTCCATTGATAGAAAAGTGTACAAGTTTGAGAGGTGTGTTAAATAATATCACTGCTGCTAAATGTCTGTTGATTTTGATTCGATGGTGTTTTGTCTCTCTCTTAGAATTTGAATGGAGCTTCAGTCAGGACCTTTCGGCCATCTTGGTGAAACAGGAGGAGCCGGATGTGGGTCAAAGGTTAGATCCTCAGCCTCACGAAGGCCCGCCCCTCATATTAAGCCCCGCCCCACCACACAGAGGGTCTCCATGGAAACACACGGTTAGCATCCTTCATACCGCGAGACGCTACAAATTATGTTGTATGTTCAAAAGTTGATTATGGTTGTTTTTGTGTTTCTGCAGGAGCCCAGTCCAGACAGCGTGAAGCCCGTCGCCATAAAAGATGAACCCAAAGAGATTGGACAGTACCTCAGCCTGCCCAGCGGTACATATACACACACACACACACACACACACACACACACACAGACAGACAGACAGACAGACAGACAGACAGACAGACAGACAGACAGACAGACAGACAGACAGACAGACAGACAGACAGACAGACAGACAGACAGACAGACAGACAGACAGACAGACAGACAGACAGACACACACACATACACAAGCGACAAAGCGTCTGCACAGCTGTGTGTCACATGTGGAGGTGTAGCATTAATACGAGCCACTTGGTAAGAGACGTCTGTGTGGGATGAACCTGTGCTTCCTCGCTCTAAGCTCCTAAAGAAGCATCCTCACTCAGGGTCTACTTTAGGGGAATTATGGGATTTAAAAAATCCTCAATGGATGGCTGAGGGTGAGCAATATTAAGGGAGGAGAGAGGACACAAGATAATATAAGTTAAAGTGAGCATCAAATAAAATCAATCTGGCCTCAAAAGTCACAAACACTGAAGGACTTTATTTCCTTAACCTCTCATTCACAGCTTTTTGTAAGTCTGTAAATCACGAAATGCATTTTCTGTGGATCTACTTTCTGTGTTCATCAATCATTCAGACACATTTTATTAATGGGGCACCTCAGGCACAAAAACTCAAAGTGCTTCACAAAATAATACATACAACTTTGTGATTAATAAAGAAACACTTGATACCAAAATAAGTCAATGAACCAAGGACTGACTAAAGCTTTGAGCACTCAGGTCTTCTGACGTCTCATACGCACGTGTTGTTTCATCTATCACAGAATAGGATGATGTTTCAGTATGAACTCACTAACCCCCCCTCCTCCGTTTCCAGATGACGCTCTACAGCTCCCGCCCACCCCTCCCAGCAGTAACCACGGCGACAGTGACGGCTCCCTGCCCCCGTCCTCCCCCCCACTCACCCTGCCCCCCTCCTCCCCTCAGCCGACGCAGAGGCCAGGAGGTCGCGCCTGTTCATCCTCCTCTTCCTCATCCTCCTCTTCCTCCACAGCCATCTCCTCCTCACCTCTGCTCACCGCACCACATGTGAGTGGAAGACCCTTTTCAAAATATTTTTTGTATTGACATTTGGCAGCAAACAATTACACAGTGTTTTTTCAAGACATAGTTATTGTACATCTGAAGTTTGTCTGTCCGAAATGCCTTAGTAAAAAAAACAGTAAACAATACGAACATTAGGGAGTGATCAGGACTTATAAAATCTGGCCTATGAGGTGGAAGACCCTTCTTTTTTATGATTATCCCATACTAACGGTCCTATAACGTGCTGACAAAATAGGGCCTATTCAATGACATCCAAGACAGGGTTTATTTAAACATAGAAAGTTGGTAATTGTTGTAAATATGTTGATGATTTGCTTTGTTTAATGCAGAAGCTGCAGGGCTCAGGGCCGCTCCTGCTGACAGAAGAAGAGAAGAGGACCCTGGTGGCAGAGGGTTACCCCGTACCCAACAAACTCCCTCTCACTAAGAGTGAAGAGAAGGCACTGAAGAGGGTCCGACGGAAGATCAAAAACAAGGTACACTTTCATAAAAACTCAGCTGAAAACCAGAAAGAAACAAGGATGAAAAAGCAGGATTCCAAGTATTTACTACACGTGTGTTTTTGAGTGCGAGAAGGTAGTCACTGAGAAAGGCGGGTAAAATAGAAACATTACATTACATTACATTACATGTTATTTGTTAGACGCTTTTATCCAAAGCGACTTACATACATTCAGTACTGTGGACAATCCCCACAGGAGCAATTTGGGGTGAAGTGTCTTGCCCAGGGACACTTGCTATCCCCTGATTCGAAGTCCATCACACTATCCACTGAGCCACAGCCTCCGAGAAACCTTGAGACAAACTTCTGTGACTTAAGTCTGTGCATTTTGCTGATTTTTCTCTGTTCTTCTACCCAGATCTCAGCTCAGGAGAGTCGGAGGAAGAAGAAAGAATATGTGGAATGCCTGGAGAAAAAGTAAGGCTCGGAAAAAGCTATCTGTCCCCATGTTTCCACTCCTTTTCCACTGATTTCCGTTCAACTTCTGTGATTTTTTTTCTCACTAAAGCCCCTTTGAATTATATTATAGCTACTCTATTATAGTGCTTCAAAGGCCACAACTATTGAGAAAAGCCCAGCTTTGATTTCCCCAACGTTTACCATTCCCTATGCAAAGAATAAATTGATGTTTTTTTATTGCAAGGCTCAGGAAATCATCACTTACCCTTTGACGTCAGTGTACAATTATTTATTGTATCAGAGCCAATCATGGAATAATTATCGTGCTTCTGAATCACTCCCGCTATTCAATCCATGCCGTCCAAACGTTGCGAATGCTTGAACAGCCAATGTTTCAACAATGATGAAAAACCTTCCACTTCTCCTGCTGTCTAACAAATGTCGTTGCATAGTTAGCGGTGCATTTGGTACAAAAAGCAGCCGTATTGGGCAGTGAGGTTTCCCCTGAATCTAACCACAGATCTTTTTATACGTAATTGTGTGCTCTTTATATGCTGGCACACAAAAACAATAAATATGAGTTACAAAAGATAAAAAATGTCACTAAGAAAATAGAGAAAGAAAGAGGTTTAAGATTGGCTTTACTAACGTCAGGAGACTCATGGCTCCTTGCCGCTTCAGGTACAAATGTCCAGATGACATGCAAAACGTACTTCAACATCAAAAGTCATTAAAAACTCATTCCCCTCTTCTGTCATTTGTTATTCTGGCTGTTACTCGTTATGGCAGGACTCCAGTAACCTGCTGAGCACATGGGGAGACTTGAAGAGAGGTGACTTTTATATCAAGAGGTGGTCAAAAAAACGTCCTATTACATTTCTCCTCACCAGAGAAGCAAGAGGAGAGTGTGTAAAAACATATCTCTTTGTGTTTCTCCTCTGGACGTGAGGACAGGATTATAGTCGGATCACTCACAAAGAAAACAGCAGGACGACTCGCTGAAAGGGAGAGTGAATGAATGAGCTGCAAAAATAAGGAAAGATCAGGAGGATTATTGGTAACATAACACAAGATTAACAAGGTGTTTAGGTGATATTTAATAGGATTAGAAGGAGGTGATGGAAGGAGAAAGAAGACCTGTCATCCTGCAGCAACAAAGAAACCATGGCACAACATTTACTAATAAATAGATGGCAATTCTGATCACAGCAAACGTTTGTGGACACGCTTTGAAGATGTGTGTTTTGCCGAAAAGATGAAAATGTCAAATAGACGCTGACAAGAATCTGTGTTCTTCTGTGTGTCAGGGTGGACAGCTACACGTCAGAAAACAGCGACCTGTGGAGAAAAGTAGAAAACCTGGAGACCGCCAACAGGTGAGACACACACACACACACACACACACACACACACACACACACACTGGCTGACATTAGTGTGTATTTGCCATTGTGTCTCTCAGCAGACTGACGCTGGCTCCAACACACTAATAACACAGACCAGACATTTTTAGTAATGCTGTTTGGATTATCATCATTTGCAAATAGAAACACGTTTGTTAAGAATGCCGCTTGATTAAAAGAGAACTGCAGCAGAGATCTTGTTCTGAGAAATAACACATGAAGAAGGAAGATAATGAGGGCAATGAGTTCAGTTTTTATGTCCGAATTCATCAGGTAGTCACATGACTTACGGGAAAACACAGAGAAAGCAGCACATGTATTGTAAAAATTAAGTGTACTGCTACAAAAACAGCCTCATTTCTCTCAAAGACAGGCTGTTCTTTGAAGAAATACTGATTTATCAAGCAGGAAAGGTTTGAGTTAGATTCACCCATCTATTCTTACATTGCTCTGTATATAAAATCCTTCCACAGTTTATATGTGTGAGTTAAACTGAGAGAATTAAAGGAGTCTATGAAGTAATTTGTCAAAGTGCAGACTCACCCAGCTACGTCTGTCTCCCCTGTTATTATAACAATATGAAACCAGTGGGTAGATGGGTGGGGGTGAGGGCTTAGGCTTTTTTTTTTGGGGGGGGGGGGGGTCTGTCTCTATCTGTCTGTCTGTGGCGGCATGAGCCTGTCATTAAAGCTGCGAGTTAACAGTAGCTTTCATCATGCAAGGCAACCCCCTCCCTTCCCACCACACACACACACACACACACACACACCACACACACACACACACACACACACACACACACACACACACACACACACACACAGACACACACACACACACACACACACACACACACACACACACACACACACACACGCTGGTTAACATGTTAAACCACCACACTGGGGAACAATGAGTTGGCACAAACTGGGGAACATGAGTCAGCGCGCTCACTCTCTCAAAAGGTCCAGAATATGTGCAAGACTTTAAAAAAGAAAACGCGTTTTAAACGACTGAAGTTAATTTTAGCTTTACTAAAAATGCCCCAAATGCAGTTATTAGTGGTCGTTTTGTTCTCAACGCTTTGCCTTTTCTTTACTTTGATTCACGCAGAACTGAGTCAGTGCTTCTGGTTTATTAGGTGAGGATAAACTCCATCCTCCTATTGCATTAAATATGTATTAAAAGTCATAAATCCAGATTGACGAAACACTAAAACAGGCCCTGTGTGAGATAAAAGTTCACATAGCTTAGCACAAACACTGGATTCAATGGATAGCCTAGCTCCCGTAAAACCAAAGAAAATCATCCATTTTAATAGATTCATAACATCTGTATTAATTGTGCTGACTATCTACTCAATGTCTCGACACGTCTGACTTTTGGAAGCACTGCACATGGGAAACAGCAATAATTCCAGCTGTTTTTATTACATCAAAACATCTGTATGTGTGATGCTGGTCAGTATCATCTCATAAAAGTTTATTACAGCAGACAACACACTCTGGTGCATGTGAGGCGTGGAGATTTGTAACATTACATGACTCACTTGCCCCCTGAGGACCTGACTGACCACTTTATAGTCTGGTTTGGTTTATAATTGTGTTTGGTTTAAGAATAACTTTCTGATTCACAGCTGTAGTTTGCCCTGTGTCTCCACCTAGTGGTGAGAGTGTGTCCTCGCGGCTCATACCATCAGAACCCTGCTCTCCAGATCCCACTCACACACTTTAAATCACTTTCATTAAGTTGACCTTAAAGTACAAGAAGAGAGGAATTAGCTGTAGGTACACTGGGGGCATGTTTAAGAGTTTAGGCTCTCACTCTAAATCTTAAATCATGATTTCAAAGACTACAACACAGTATTGAAATATGATCACTTAACTGGTGTTACTTCCTCAAGGAGGTCTCAGTAAGGGTATGAAAGAATGGACGTAAAACCCAACATATTGTCTGTGAAAATGCCTTCCTTCCTTTCCTTTATTAATGTATTCTCTCTCTCCTCAGGTCTCTCCTACAGCAGCTGCAGAAGCTTCAGTCTCTCGTTACAGGGAAAGTCCTGCCTCGCTCTTGTAAAATTGCCACTACTCAAACGGGGACATGCCTCATGGTAAGTTACTTTATTGACACCAGTGTTTCTCATTATTTTAATGAGGTGTTTTTTGTATTGATGTACTTGTTTGTGTCACAATCTGTGCAGATGGTGGCCGTGTGTTTTGTCCTGGTGTTGGGCTCCTTCTCTCCCTGCTTCTCTCCTCTCTCCTTCCTCACTCACACCTCTTCCTCTTTGTCCTCATCCTCCTCTTCCTCTCATCCCTCCTCCTCTCCGCCTCTCCCGTCAGCAGACCTCTACACCACCAGTCAGGGTAGGTCTGCAAACCTATTATTCAACATTACTGTAGATATGGAAGTACATGTTAATTAAGATTAGGACTATTAAACGCCTGAACTTTTGAAAGAACATCCATAAACATTCATCTGTCTGCATCTTGCAAATTATTTGTCTAATATATCATATTCCATTTACTTTTATAGACTCTTCTTGCACTATTGTATCTGTTTTATTTGTTCTATGTCCTATATACATGCTGCACTGTTGGAGGAGCCTGTGACTTACGTTTTTCATTGACATATCTACACTGTAGCTAATGTACAAATGACAATAAAGCCTTGAATCTTGATTTCATTTAAGAAATAAACGTTGATTTAAAAAATAATAGCATGTAGAGAATGAATGAAAAATAAAAATCCCAGAAGTTTATTTTGCTGTCAAATAAAAACCCATAAAAACCAAGTGTTACAGTAAACAAAAAAGTTTTTTCTCTCAAAAACAACTTGAGAGGTCATGAGTATCAACTTTCACTCTTCGCTGCATTCCACTTCCCTGTAAATGTACTTCCTTTAACCACTTAGCCTCAGGAAACCCCTTTTATAACCAGAGTTTAAGTTGTCATCATGCTAAGTACCACTCCTTTCTGCCAGCAGCCGTCCTCTGAGGGCAAAAGAAAAACTCTGCTAGACTGTAACCATCAGAAGCTAAATCCTGACCCCTCGAGGCTGCCAAATTCATTACAATCTAAAACAATAATGTTCCTAAATGAGACATGAGAATGAAATCCAGTGTTTGTGTTGCAGTCCGCTCCCGCAGCCTGCTCTTCTACGACGAAGGGTCTCCACTGGAGGAGACTTTATCTCCATCAGAAGCAGAGAGGCTACAGTCAGAGAGCCACGTGCAGACCAGCAGATACACAGCGGAGGCCAACCAGACCACCGGGCCCAAAACAAACAGCAGGTACACAAATATCTCGTCTTTTAGTGTCTTTGCACGTCTCACAAAAAAATCTATTAGGTGGCTGCTGCTAGAGGCCTCAGTAACACTATTTGGATTTGCTTAGGGTTGAAAGGTGCTATAAATACTGTTGGGAAAATACTGAATGTCCTCTTCCAATGTCAGAGTACACATGATAACAAAGGTATCCCAACTGTAGCTGTGTACATGACAGGATGTATGATTACCTAGAAGAGCATCAGGACTGTTTGAGGCATATGATAGCTATGTGATTAACATGCATGATATCAGCATGTGAAGGACACTGTTCAGGAACTAGTTGATGCTCTGTATGTGATGACTACTTCCATTCTTGAGAGGATCATAAACACATGGATCCTGATGTTGAAGCTCAAGCCGGGGACGAGTGATATTTTTCTAACAAATACACTTGCCTTACTGTCCTCTGAATATTAACTTGGTTCCTCTCTTCTCCTCAGAGAAACAAAACCAGAGTTTATCTGACCCCTCCTCCCACGACATCTAACCTCTGACCCCCAAAGCCACAAACCTCCAGACTCCTGAAACCCCTGAACTCAGCAGGCTTCACATCAACATCCAGACTTCCTCCGTCCTCCACAGCCGGCACACTGCCGTCACCACAAGGTGCTTCACTTCTCAAACAGACTCTGCTACACCTGAATATACTTGATTTCAAAGGGATTGGAATTTCTATTTTTATGCATTAAATATACAACCATTTTAAAAATCCAACTAATCTTGTCATATTTAGTTTAAACAACAACCAGGGGCTTAATTATAGAATCTATATACAATCATTTACAGATACAATGTGCAGCATTTTAACATAAAAAACTATTGTAGTGTAGCGTTGCCAACATCCTTTAGGAATGAAAAAGGAAATGTGGTCTTAGTATCAAGAGAAACAGATGTTTGCACCTTTAAGAACTCATGAACATAAATGCATACGGATACTTGACAGACCTCCAATTTGGGAGTGTATATTTTACTTTTCAAAGGCACTAAATCGGGTCAGTGCTTTAATTTTTAACCAGTCATATATGTTGCTAAAGGGTTACAGCCAACACCTAATGTGATTATCGATTCAAGTTAGGATAGATCCTCATATTAGAGAATAATGGATCTCAAAAATTGATTACATTTCTGTTTCAGCTCTACGTTAATAACAGTATACGTAAACTAAACTTTAAAACTAGATAATAAGGAAAAGGAAGCCGTTCCATTTTAAAAGTGCCTTCCACTTACTTAAGTCTAATATGACGAACTTGGCCTTATTACACCTAAAGCACGCAGCTGTAAACCTGTAAACAAACACTCTGTATTTTTCCACTTTTTAAATCCATCTCTGAGGTTAAAGTCCACATTCTGCATATTTTTTTGTATGTTAGTATCAAAGGACTGTTAAAGGGGGTCCTACGAGAGGTTGGGGAACAATTACATAAAAGTATTTTTATGGAATTAAATTGTATATGTAATATATTTGCAGCATCGAAAAAAATGCATATTTAATTTATGCAGCAAAAAAACAAATACTGAAAGTGTTTTTAAGTTTGTTATTCTATTGTTTTTTCTAGAAAATGTTTACAAAAAAAACACTCAAATACAAGTTATAATATATTCCGAGCATCAAAAAAGAGCATTGTTATTTTATGCAAGAAAAAAAAAGGGAATTTTATGTTGTGTTTTTGCATTTAGGATGATGAAGTTTCACATGACGGTGTGTCGTGTAAACTTTGACATTATCTGCTTTTGTCTTTCAACTGTAATACAGTGTTTATGTTTCCTGCTGTCGCATGAAAGGTCCATTTGGTTCCTGTGTGATATAGAAATGCCACTAGCTTGTAAAATGTACTTTTAAAATCTATTTTTTTAGCCATAAGGTGAAGTTTCTTAACCTAAAAAGCAGAAGAAATTCATCCCAAATCAAAAGCACGATCTTAAATAATTAGAACATCGGCAATTATCATATTTTATGTCATAAATTCATTTCACCGTAGATGCTAAATGTGCTCATGCGACAGCAGTGTGTGTTGTATTTATTCCTGTTTGTAGAAAGTGTGTATATATTGATGAAGCCAATCAGGGGACTCATACATTCCAGGAAGTAAAACAAACCACTAGCTTTGTTATCGCCAACATTTGAAGGAACCATTGGGACATTTAAAAAAAAAAGAAAATCACCTTTTCTGACAATGAAAGAAAAAACAAAATATTTAATGGTACTCCTTCAAAAACTAAAAGCTTTACACTGCCCCCATCCACTTCCTTTAATTCATTATTACAATTATGTAATGCTCAGAACTTCTATTTTGTATCTCCAAAACACTACAAATGTTTCTTATTCATCTCTGTTTGTATTTCATTTTGTGTGTGTGTACACAAAAACATCATGTGACTGCAGCCCGTTGCACAAACATCCTGTCATTCTCACCCAATACAGTCTCAATGCACCAGTGTACATAAATACTGACCACCTAATGTGCAGTTGTTGTAAATAACCTTGTTAAGGGCCTTGTTTTTTTGTATTGTGACATAGTCCAAGATTGAAACCTGTGGAATCACGTGGGAAAGAAGAAAATGGGATATTTGGGGAATCAAAATGTAAAGCGGGGAGGGAATAAAACTTAAAGGGAGGGTGACTTTTTCCACCTGTAAAGAAACGTTGATAACACAGCAGCTGCACACAGTTTTAATAGTTGTTAATCACCAGGAAGTGTTTCATTATTCCACATTCTGAGAGAATAATGAAGCACTTCCAGTTATTTCAAATGTGTTCGGGTACCATGTTGTCTCAGTTTGTTGTATAGCGTCCTGCATGTTCCTCCATATACTTCTATGTTATCTTAGTGTAGTCAGTAGAGTAGAAACCAGCAAAATATAAAAAACCTGCATCAGCAACACTGTGTCTGTGGCCTTTCTTGCTTGAAATGTGTCGTTTGTGAACAGAAAATGATGATTTGCTCTAGTCCCAGTCCTGATCTGTTTTGAGTTTAGCTGAAGTGTTTGAGGATGAGGTCTTTCCGGAGCTCCTCTGCCCGGCTGTCTCGATCCTCTGGTCTCTGCTCAAGAGTCTCGGGCTGCTCCAGAGGGTCGGTCCGCTCCAGAGTCCAGGCGTCTAACCCCGACTGCAGCGAGGCGTTGTGGAGAACACAGCAGGCCAGCAGGATGGACGAACTCCTCTCCGGAGAATACTGCAGGTTTTTTAGACAAGATGCAAAAGAAAGAATACCATTCAGTCGCAAAAGCATGTATAACTCAAATATTGTTTTGACAGTGAAAGGTTCATGGGGTCAGATCTCAATTAATAAATGCACACAAAAGGATAGACAAAAGTAATTCAGGAAATGGTTTACAGCAGCAAAGGGGACGGTGCAGATGAAAGACAAGATAAAATAAGTTTGCTAAGATTATGAATAAAGAGACAAGCCCACATGAAATCAAAAAAGTACACGCCCTGGTCTGAAATAAATCTGGAGACCTGCGTACCTGTAGGTATCCTTTGGTGCCGTCCAAACATCTGAATCTGGTCTGGATGGCTCTGAAGGTTCTGTCCACGATCTCATGAGTGGCCGTGTGGGCCAGATTATACTGTAACTCTTCTGGGGTTTCTGGGCAGTCCATCGGGGTCATCAACCACTTCCTCAGAGGGTAACGACGGTCACCTAGGAAGCAGAAATCAGAAAAGAACGTTAGTCCTGGACCTTTTTTCAGACTGTGTGCAAAGAAGAGTGAAATCCGAGTCTCACCCAGCAGCCAGCCCTCCTCAGCGTCCTGCAGGTGTTTCTGGAGAGCAGATCTTTCTAGAACCTCTGTGTCTCTGAGTCCTCCCGGCCATTGTGTTTCGGCGCTGAGTAACAATCCTCTGGCATCACAAACCAGCTGGCAGCCCACCGAGTGAAACCCCTTCTTGTTCACGTAGGACGAGTCTTCGCTGTTAGGAGCTTTGATGGTGACCTGGAGGGGAAGAGGTGATCAGTTTAGGCTGTAAACTTTGTATATAGAGTTTTAAAGTGTTAATGCAGTATATTATAGTACACCTGAACACAGTCCAGCACCCCTAGGACTCCTGGGAATCCTGCCACCCTCTGAAACTCCTGGAAGGACTGCTCTGTGCTGGAGGGGTCTCTGTGTGGGAAACAACTCTTTCTTAATATTTACTTTGTCTGTATTTTAGGCTGAATGTTGATAATCCCAGTGATCTGCAAGTCATCATCATGGTTCCACACCTGTTTAATGTAATGAACGTTGGAGCTTTCTCCACCAGGGCTCTGGTCACGTTGGACACACATCTCGACATTGACGCCTGGCTGATCCCTATTGTATCTCCCATCGATGTCTGGAAGGATCCGGATGTGTAGAAGCCCAAAGCAGCCAGCACCTGGACCTCAGGACTGATGGCTCTGGATCGCTGAGTACGTCTGCACAGAGCCTAACATCCACACACATTAAAACGTATAATTAATTGGATGAGATAATTGAAATTCAGGCTCATCATCTACTTACCTCCCGGAGTATTTCCACCAGATACAGTATAAACTCTCTGGGGAAGCCAAACTGTGTGAGGAGCAAAGTGTCTGGCACAGAGTCCAGGTCAAAGCGGTCCAGGGTCTTGTGTCCTCGACCGTGTAACAGCAGGTCACAGTCCAAGATGGCTATAGGGATCGCCATGCTGTGGGCAATAATACATTTATCAATCAAGGTATAGTTAACATGCACAGAACAAGATATGCTTGTATGAATTGTTGTTGATGCTGTATCCACACATTGTACACATTTCTAAATAGTATGTATTTTTTTGTATTATCCTTGTGTTTTTTGTTTATGCACCAATACACCACTGCAATGTTCTTGTATATGAAAACCTACCTAGCAATAAACCGGATTTCTAATAATGCAATTTGAAGATTCTTGCTGTGTCACTTATTTGTATCTTATCACACTGCCAATTCAACAAAATGGCTAACTTTTCGGCATGGAACAAATCTGTCCTCGAGTTTTAAAGCTCCTTGTTTGTTTGTTATTACTGTATATCTGAATACTACATGCTAACTATGTAGCTACCACACTAGCATTTGAGCTTTCCTACGTTCAGTATTGCGTTTCTCTGAATACATGCATGGCTATTTACACACACAGCTGGATATCTTTGAATGGAAGTTAAAGCATTTTGCATTTATGTTACATGGTAAAGAAAAAGGCTCTTACATTTGAAGAAGTCATGCAGCTTTTGTCAACCAAAACAAGCCACAGGAACACATATCGTTTGACGCACAGGCGCACATTCGACACAGGAAGATGCATTTTGTAGTTCATTTGCAGATTATCATTATTAAAAGGCGAGTTATTTTGTTTACCAAGAACTAAAAAAATATAGTACCACTATCAAAACACACTGTGAATAAAAAGGCAAACAAAACGAATTGTGTATTTAACATTTTAAATACTTTTTTTCAAATCAACGAAAGTGCCGCAGTGAATGATGTGCCATACAAACACGTCGACATGGAGAAGATAAACAGAGAAGTAGCTCCGTCGTTGTTTACCTCTGAAATAGGCTTTTAAATGTTCATAAAAGACAGCGTTTTATGCCATTTATATTGAATTAAGTTGTATTTTATTGAAGCTACGTTCCCAGGGGAAACGCTAATGTAAGTGTTGCTGTTTTGTGATACATTTTAAGTGCGTGTTATTCAGCTAGCTAGCTTAGCATTAGCTGCAACGTCAACGTTTAGTAAATATCAGTTACATTTGTGTTTTACACGAAAAAATAAGGAAATAACGTGCTGTTTTGCACTGTAACAAGCTGGTTGTCAGTATATTGTGTCGTTTAACATGACCTCCAAATATTATCCGGATAATTTAATGTCAACGAGGAGGCCTTACTTGCTAAATTGTACAGAAACAGATGCTTAAATAGGGTTAAAATAATTGTGATAAACAGTATATTCCTTTAAAACTACTTCAAGCAAATTCATATTATATATTAGGTATTATGCATTGCTTTCAGTTACTAATTGTTCAATTGATTGGTTGGAAAAAAAGGCTTGTTTTGATCCAAATCTTTCTATTAACTGACGATTCATGTATTCACACATTTTACAAGACATGAATTCACTTTTCTTAGCAATTATTTGTATTTGACAATTACAATTCATTATAATTATGTCTGCAGTAAGTGGCAACATTTGTCTTTGCTCACAAATGTATTAATTGTATATTTGACATGCTGTGTTGTGTACTAGTATAATTGTTTTACTGTGTAGCACGGTGCTATAGATAATGTTTTATTGATTGATCCCAGGGTCGTGACAACATGGAGAGTGGCCTGAGTCCCCAGGATAAAAAAGACTTGGACAAGTTCATTAAGTTCTTTGCCTTAAAGGTAACACGCCTGTATGATGTTGTTGTTTCCGACATAGGAAAGGAATGCAGCCTCTTTGATTGTAGATGTCTAAACGCCCGGGGCTCATTCTGTTTGCAGAAGCTTTGATTCCCACACTCTTTACTTAGAGACAGTTTTATTTGCACAGGTTTTAAGATACTTGTTGTTACTGATATATCTGTATTTCCTACTGACTAGTAATGGTTTCTCATGTCCTCTTTGTAGACTGTCCAGGTGATTGTCCAAGCGCGTCTTGGAGAGAAGATATGCACTCGCTCGTCCTCATCGCCTACTGGCTCTGATTGGGTAAAATATTGGACCATTCACCATTGAAATTGTTGATCGGATGTACAGTTTAGTGTAGATTTTCTCATGAATGTATCTGGCTTGGATGGTTGATCTTCTTCTATAGTGTACATTTAAGTCATTTTTGTTGTTATTATTACTTCTTCTAGTTTAATTTGGCCATCAAAGACATCCCAGAGGTGACTCATGAAGCTAAAAAGGCGCTGGCTGGACAACTCCCAGGCATCGGGCGCTCCATGTGCGTCGAGATCTCCCTGAAGACGTCAGAGGTTTGACATTCCTCATACTTTTGGAATAGTAAACACACAATTATCTTACTCCTTATTTACATTTCGTATACACAAATCGTTCTGTCTTACTCACTCAGGGGGACTCAATGGAGTTGGAGACATGGTGTCTGGAGATGAATGAGAAGTGAGTACATTTAGCATGTTTTTAAGTATATGCAACGATATATAAAGTGCTGCAGAGTTTCTGTGTGTTGTATATTATGCACATGAAATAGCTTTGATGAGCAGTTCAGTGTCTGAGGTAATAAACCTCTGTGCTGTGATGTAATGATCCTTTCATCATGAGCAACACTGTGATGCTTTTCTGCCAAAATAGCCTGCTTTGTGATCAAAGGAACAATGGAGAAAATTCAATCAGAGCGTGTGTCAGATGCTTTGAGTTATAAATGGCTTACTTTGTTTCTGCTAGTGACATTTTGTAGTCTGAAGTGCTGCTGTTGTTTGAAAACTGCTGTTACACTTTGTTACTGCTTGAGATAAATGAAGCTGCTCCAAAACAGATTCCCAAAGACTGTTAGACACACTGATGACTCCATCGTATTATTAAGCTGACATCTATTTGAAATGCCGCCACACTGCTGAATTTGAATGAGTCATTGTTTCTGCTGCAGGTGTGATAAGGACATCAAGGTGTCGTACACAGTCTACAACCGTCTGTCTGTCCTTCTGAAGTCTCTGCTGGCCATCACCAGAGTAACACCTGCCTACAAACTGTCCAGAAAGCAGGGACACGACTATGTGATATTATACAGGTGAGGGGACTCTCTAACAGCTTTGTTTGGTCTCTTGTTACGTTGAGTTGATGTTTGACATGTGTCACCATCTGTCTCTGCCTCTCTTATTCCTAGGATTTACTTCGGGGAAGTCCAGCTGAGTGGATTAGGAGAAGGTAACCTTAAACTCTGCTTCCTGACGGACATGTCGTAAATCACAGAAAACAACACTCACAGCTCAAGGTCGACTTATTTGACCGTAAACATTACAAAAGGAAGGTTTTACACACATATACTTGTGTGTTATACCTTATAGAATAAGATGCAAATGGACTTGAAAAGACAAATATTTTCCAGTTATTTGTTCAGAAATAAATGTATTGTGTTATGGGACAGGACTAAATATTAATTAGACATGTTTATTATTCTTAAAAGTAATAAAAACATACAATAAAACACCAGTCAGAATCTTAAATACTTAATTAATCCCTAAGCAATGTTACAGTTCTATCTTGAGGATAATTTAAAAACCACAAACACATAGAAGTTAACATCAGTAGAATAACATTTAGATATTACTTTCCTTCTCAATGCATCATTTACTATAACCTATATTTAAAAAATATTCATGTTTCTTTACTGAGGATTGTGGTTTGTTTTTAAGGGTTTCAGACGGTGCGTGTCGGTGTTGTTGGCACACCTGTTGGCACGGTTACACTGTCATGTGCTTACCGCACCAACCTGGCATTCATGTCCAACAGGTAATTAACACTCAGCATGAGAAACAACACAGTCTTCTTATAAAGACAATTATGATGAGCTTATTAATATGAATGTTTTCTGAGTGGATAAAGAGATGGTTATATTTTTGCTTTAGTGCTTCACTACTCGCACCACTAGTAAATGGTTGAACTGTGGTTTTCTGCAGACAGTTTGAGAAGTCTGCTCCCATCGTGGGGATCATCGTGGATCACTTTGTGGATCCACCTGGCATCGGCCACCGTAATGCAAACATGGGACATCCCTGCAACTACAGGTAGCTACAAAACATCTTTTACATCCACAGAATAAAGAAACAATTACATTTTCCTGCTTAAAGGACAAAATAAGGTCAATTCTGACAAATCTGTTTTTTACTTGTCTGCCCCCAGTAGGATGTGAAGAACTGAAATCATCTATATTATAATGTGTGTGTGTGTGTGTGTGTGTTCAGAGCTCTAGATGATGAGGACGGAGGATATGTAGGAGTTCAGGATTCCCAGGAGGTCTGCACCACCTCCTTCTCCACCTCCCCTCCCTCACAGGTAACACGACTCACTCCTTTAACATCTCTTTCTTTACACTGTGACTTCTGCTCTCCATTTTCACGACTGCTTTTTATTTCACGTTCTCTTTTCTCTCTTTGTCTGTTTTCTTTTTCCTTTTCCTGTCTTTTTTAATTGTATGTTTATCTGTGTGTGTGTGTCTGCGTTTGGTCAGTGTGTGTGTACACTGAGTCCTTCGCCCTGTAAACTGTCTAAGCCCCTCCCCCTGGACAGTCTGCCGCTTCCATTGGCTCCTGGACTTGTCACTCACACTGTGAGTCTATACGGCCACTGTGGAAGTGTGTGATGCACCTTTTTAAACTGCACTAAAAACTGCTGATCACTCACATTTTGTCATGTGTTTTGATGTGTGTGTTGCATCATTATTGGCTTTGACTGTGTGAGGCTCCATCACTTACTTCACTGCAGAGCTTTAAGCACTTATCTCCTGTTTCATTGTGATGTTTTATTATTATGTACCACAGTTTTAAACCCCGTCAGCCAACAGTGTGTCTCCAATGTTACGCTGCAGTGTTTTGTGATTAATGATCCGTCTTCTTCTTCCTGTCTCTGTAGCTGTATGCTTCCAGGTTTTCATATCACCCTCCAGCTGGAGCCGCTGAGCTGTGTCCCCCTGCTGCAAGCCAGGTGAAACATCACATACACATTTATTGATACATACTCTTATATGTCCAGGATGCCTACATTTCCCATCAGAAAAATTAAGTTTTAAAATACATATTTATATTGAATCCCCTATAACTCTGCTTTGTTCTTCCTCTTCAGGCGTTGCATGCTGGGAAGGAGCACGGAGGAGTTGTATTGGCTCCTGCTCAACCTCTTCATGGAGCTGATGCTCATCTCACAGTAGAACAAGCTGCCAACACTCCTGGTGGCAGGTCATTCAAAACATATTGGATTTACTAACCTAACTTAACTTCAGCTCAGCATCTGCAAAGATTTAACTGTCTTAAGGAAATAACTAGATATTATCTGATGGTATATAGAGCCATATGTTGAATATTGGCTTTTTTGCAAGAGATATTGTGAACGGTGGGAAAGAAGAGGTGTTCAATGTGCGCCACATAGATCTCCTTAAATCTGAAATGTCTAAACAGTAACATCTCTCTTCAAAGTGGTGATGACGATGGCCTGACGCACAGTGGAGAAAGAAGGAGGGATGAAGGGCGGAGGAGCGTCTCTCCCTCCGACCCCGTGGAGTCGCTCAACGCCTTCACCAGGAAAATTGGAGCCTTTGTCAATAAACCCATCACACAGGTACATCCCAAACTGATAACTCTGTTTTGTAACGCACTCCATCCTGCTCAAGAGGGTAACTGTCCTAGTGATGAAAATGTAGGAGTACCGTACACGTAATTAAGTTCCGTGTGTGTGTGTGTGTGTGTGTGTAGTTAACAGCAGCCAGTCTGGACCTGCCATTTGCTGCATTTGCTCCTCGAGGCCTGGACTCAGAGGAGAATGATCCCATGGTAACTATCAAAACAAACATGATGTCCCAAATGTGTCTTTATATCAGGCAGTATGATCATTTGATTTGTGTTTAAATGGATATTATGATACCATATGATCAAAATGTTTCGCAGATACAGCCAAATCAAGGTGTTTTAAGTTTTCTACAGTAAGGATTTTCTGTGTGTGTGTGTGCAGGTGCAGCCTCCAGACTCGCCCCCCTGCCCCTCCCCTCTGCAGGCCAGCCTCCACTCTCAGGGCTCGGAGGGATCGGGGCAGCAGGACGACTTCGTCATGGTCGACTTTGTACGTACATTCTCCAGGCTTAAAGAACAATGCATTAGCACAATATGTTGCATTATAAAAGTGTTAATACATGCTAAACTTGAACATTTAGTCTGAAGTGCTGCCTGACAGGTTTAAAGACTTAAGAGTGTCGTGATTATTAAGACATTTTCTCCTTTAAAACTAAAATGAAGCCATAAATAGCAGCCAATTAGCTTAACCCTTAGATGCATAAGTGGGTCTTTTTTGACCCGGTGAGGTGGTTTTCTTGAAGTATCTTTGTAATTTAAAAAAAATTATAATTTCATATTCCAGCTATTCCTCAAAAAACATGTTTTGGATATCATGCCATTCAAATTTTAAATTTAAATTTTAAGAAATTGTAGTTTTTGTATTACTACCCCAAGCTTCCATAAGTGGGTCAAAAATGACCCGCATGCATTTTCTATGGGATCCTATGGGAACCTTTGATTCTTATCACCTGTTGCTGTCAGGAATACATTCACTGTAGGACACACAGACGACATCACAAGTGACACCTCTGATTATTTTACACAGCAAGATCTGATACCTGTCAGTATAATAATAATAATAATAATACATTATATTTTTATAGGGCTTTTCAAGGACTCAAAATCGCTTTACAATATAAGGGAAGGTTAGGGTGGGGGGTATAGGACTATCAAACTTGATCAACCGGCATGGATTGATGGGGGGTGGGCTATGATGAGTAGACAAGAGGAGAAGAGATGAGTTTTGAAAAGGGACTGGAATACTGTGAGGGTCTCAGAATAGCGGAGATCTTTCCATTGATATGTTCAAAACGTTTTTTTTCAAAATGTAAAAAAAAATTATAAAATTATAAATAGTGAACAATTAAATATAAAATATTTCTAGTGTGAACCAAAATATAATACTTAATATTATACAAGTGATCTTTCTTAACTAAAATGACAAGAATGGCATAAAAACACATATTATTCTAATACGGGTCCTTTTTGACCCACTTATGGAAGAGTGTAGGGTCCAGTCACTCTAAGGGCATCTAAGGGTTAACTTAGCACAACAACTGTAACCAGGGGAAACGGCTAGCCTTAGCTCTGTCAATCAATAACAAAAGCCACTTATCAGCACCTCTAAAGCCATTAATTAACATGCATCAATTATGTCTTTCATCCGGAGATGTTTGATTGCCCGTCTGCTTCTGTGTGTAGCGTCCAGCCTTCTCTAAAGACGACCTGCTGCCGATGGATCTGGGCACTTTCTACAGAGAGTTTCAAAACCCTCCGCAACTGGCCAGCCTCTCTCTTCACATCAGCGCCCAGTCGATGGCCGATGACCTGGTAACACACTTCTTATTGTTTTGTTCGTATGAGAACGTTATGATTCCTTCTTTAAACCTCTCACCACAGAGAAGTATGGTATAACGAAGACATGTCATTTCTTGTCTACAGGACTCACTGCCAGAGAAACTTGCCGTCTACGAGAAAAACATCGACGAATTTGACGCTTTTGTGGACATGCTCCAATAAAAGAGTGAAAAAGGAGGAAGACTACATGTGGGATGGTGGCAAATGAAACTGACTGGAGACTCTGTAGTCATTTGTCCTGTAGGAATCTGACTAAATCTCAATATTTCAAAGTGAAGCTCCTCCTTTCTGACATCTTCCTCTCTTACCTTCCTGTCAGGCACTTTCACGTCACTTGTACAGATCACTGTAAATATTGTATTATCTCAACTGACACTGAAATACACCTATCTCTGATCTGCTAGTGTTAATTTAAACTAACAATCTTTGTGTTCTATGTGGAACAAATCTGCTCAAATCATCAGTGTTTTAATCAGGATTTAAAATCAATTCTGTCACTTAGACAGCCATGCAATTCAAGGACAGACTACCTGCACACAATTCATTCACCCTCCCTCCTGAACACTACTAGCCTCCGAAGGTTTCCCCCTTCTTCATCGTCTGATCATAACGCCAGGGGAGCGATCAGTGGCTCTAGAAATCAAACCGATACTCTGTGTGGAAGAGTTTTCTTCAAAAGTGAAATCTTGAGCTGGTCTTAGCAAATACATTGCACTTGTGGAGGATATTAGGATGTCATTTAGAACTGTGAGAAGCCTGTCATTCATTTAGCCAGGTGTTCCAGCTGGTCTGGAGATTAAAACTGCCAAGGTCAATGTTAGAAAACGGCCCCAAATTGAATTTAGAGAACTACCTGCTATCCTTTATATGTACACCAAAAATGTTTCCATGCTAAAGCAACTTGTCGGAACTTCACTCTATTGCCAGTATAGGCCGTACAACATGTATATTCAAGTTTTTGTAAAAAATAGATAAACACATTTCCATCTCTACAGAAGAGGCCGTGGTCACCATCCATGACTGAGTTAGGTTGAAAGCTTTAATTTAAACTTTTTTTTGCTGTTGGTATAGATGTCCTAATAAAGCATGGCTGCTCTGTGATGTCTGTCAAATACCTTGGGACCATATAATTATGTGCATGCAATTATTAGGGGACAATGTCTTAATTTTAAAAGCAACTATTGGACAATTTGCTTAACAGTCCATTAGCTATTAGAAAGCATTGTTGCGCAATACTATTCCGCCTAGTCCCGCCCTACTGTGCTCTGATTGGCTAGTAGTACTCGTTGACTTGACGCCCTCTTTTGATTAGTTGAATTCCTCTTAAAGTTATAATTTTAGCAAGGGGGAAAGTTATGCTTGAAATTATTCTATATAAAAAGTTAAAAGCAAAATATTACTAAGATTAGCTTGATGAAAAAAATCAAATGTATAAATGGAAACAGGAAAAAGTCTGGTCATTGCTAGGCAACCATTCGAGACTACAGGTATCACTGCGCCCCACAAGAAAATAGTCCAACCAAAAAGCTTTGCACAAGTACTTTTTTTAATGGGTTTTAATTTAATTAAAGTTATAACTTGTTACGCAGGGTGTTTGTTCAACACTAGCAATTGTTAAAGGAGAGGAAAAAGAGCGCGAGTGACGGAAAGTTATGCTTATGATTGTACTAAGCTGCCAATTAGCCACCAACAGCTGCAATTAATTAACCTCCTGCCCACGGTACCATGGAGAAAGCAAGTAAAGTGAGTATAAAGACATTCATGTTTTTGTGTACTGTCTATTATCGATAAATAAATGCTACAACTCGTTTTGGTTTTGACCTGCTGATAAAGGGGGTGTGGTTAGCTCCGAAGCTAGTAGCTAACAGTGGGGTAAAGTAACTAAGTACATTTACTCGAGTACTGTACTTAAGTACAACATGCAAGTTCTTTACTGAAGTATTTTGCTATGCTACTTGCTTTTACTCCACTACATGTTGGAAGCAAATATTGTACTTTTTACTCCACTACATCCGTCTGACAGCTTTAATAACTTTAATGCTGAATTTGTTTAAAAATGATACATAGCTATTCAGTAGCACAGCATGAAGTACATCTCAAATGAACCCCACTTTTACCAAATGCAACCATAGTTGAAATGAACACATTAATAATGCAAATGAATAGTTCAATACTATAATTTAATGGTGTTCAAAAGGGGCCATCCTGCATATCGAGTAGTTTTACCTATAGCACTTAAAGTATATTTTGATAATACTTTAGTACAATTTTGAATGCAGGACTTTCACATGTAGCCAAGTATTTGTATACTGTAGGAATGCTACTTTTACTTTCAGTAAATCATTTGAATACTTCTTCCACCTCTGGTAACTAAACAACTCGTGCTTAAAAGTGGGCTGACTTTCTGCATGTTACCGTTTTAATTTATGCCTGTAACAATGTAATGTCCAATATCTGGTCTGTTTATAGAAATAACACCCATTGGGAATTTGCTGTGGAGTTTTCTAGTAAAATAACTGTAAGCATAGCCTGCTTGTGTTGGAATACTTTATCATAAACTAGCCAATATGCAGTGCACACTTGTTGAATATGTAAGAGTCTATGGGCAAGACAATACACACTTACAACTATACACACACTTACAACTATTCCTTTAATAAATAAATCAAATGAAAACTTGTCAGAATTCAAGTGGAATTTTATTGTTGGTAGTTTCCAGAATTCCATCACATACCTGCAGGGCTGCAAAGGGTCAAAACCATAAAGTTAAGAGTATGTAACACGCATTTTACAAATACAATTCATGTTCCTCCATCTTGTCACGTGCCATGAGGCTGTGACCAACAACAGATTTATTGCTCTGATTTTCTGAGAGCCCCTTACTTATACACTGCTACCTAAAGGGCTGGGAACCGTTAAGCAAAACATTTCATCTTCAGACTGAACAGCTATCTGGAAGGCTAACGGAGGGAAGCTGCTTTAAAATCAACTCCAAGACAAAGATGTAATTTTTCGAACTATGTTTTCTAGCCACTTAACATGCCATTACTTTTTTTTTTTTTTATCTATTTTTTAGAATCCTTCCAAGCTGTGGCAGACAAGAAGCCGTTTCTTCCCAATGTGACACTGGGAACACGAACCGAGAAGAAATAAAAATACAAAAAAAAAAAGTAAATTTCACAGGAGAGTAATGTCCTGCCCCCATTTCCCCCCACATTGGCCCCCTGACTGTCCAATGAGTTTGTTTTGGGCGACGTGGAGAACGAGTCCCTCTGGGCACGACGAGACGTGTCAAACATCAGGGAATGGTTGGAAACAAAACGTCCAGATATTAGACTGCGATGAGACAGGGACACTTTACTCTGGTTCCCACTTCCTTGGGTACAGGGTGAAAGTCTTTGAGGTGGATGGCCAATGTCCTCCATTGTCATAAATATCCAACCTGCTCCCCCATTTGGCTGAATGTTGGTTGAGTTATACGATAGTTAGGGTGGTGATGAAGGGGAAGGGGGGGGGGTTTGAAGCTGGCGTCCATACACACTACAGATCAGAGCAGGAAGAAGAAGTGTATGGAAAAGGTCCAGGAGCTCAACTTTTCTTCATGGGCTTTTTTTAATGAATGAGCGGGGAGGTGACCGGGGCTTCAGGCAGTATTCAGTAGTTCCTGAATGGCTTTCTGCTGCGTCTCGTTCAGTGTCGATACACACTGCGTCCATAAACCTCCCGACCCCTGAGGGACAAGATGAAGACAAATCAATCTGGGAAAATCTCTCACAATGCATGTCAATCTTTTGTTTTGAAATCCTCTAGTAAGACTATTTACCTGTACTTGACGGATGACATCAGCCATCCGCTTGCTGCATGCGTCTTCAGTCTTCACCGATTCGTTTGCAACTCCGTCTGCGATGATGAGGAAAATCTTGGGAAGGTTGGCGTTATCTGGTCCGAGGACAATGGGATTGTTGCTGAGGGGGAAAAAAATAAAATTAGTTTGTACAACGAATGGTTTACTAAATAATTTCAGATGTCTTTTGTTTTCCACACAGGCGCCATACCTTTCAATGAGGTCACACAGGAAGTCGAACGTGTGCACGGCCTCTTCTTTGTCCTCGAGGAGCGGGAGCCAGTTGAGCCAATGGGGAAGAATCTCGTTGACGTTAACGCACTCCGGTCTAAACCTCATGACCTTTCCTACGGCGGAGATGCAGTTTTCCGTGGCGTTGACGTTCTCCTTGACGCGGGAGTCAGCTGACTGGATGACTCTGACCATCAGCGGGATGGCCTCTGGGGCAAAGAAACAGAGAGGCAGTGAGTTAAAACTAAAGAGCACCAAGCTACCGACATAACATCTAAAGACCAGCGCTCAGCAATACCTGTACAGAACGGGCGGTAGAGCTCTCCTCCGTACTGAGCCATGACGCCGACACCATAAGCGGCCGCCTGCCGAACTTCAGGACTCGTGTCACACAGCGACTGCAACATCGGCTGTAGGAAAACCTCGGCATATTTGAAGGAGGCGGGGCTGCAGTGCTCCACCACGTCGTCAAAGATGCACAGACCCCACTGTCTGTCCGCCCATGGCCTGCTGGGACACTGAAGACAAGTTCAGATAAGAGTTAGACTCATAATCCATCAGACCGACACCATCTACTGACCCTTTGTTTTACTGGACTTACTATTAGCTGGACGATGAGCTGCAGAAGCTGCTCAAACCAAGGAAGCACTTTCTCTTTGTAACTACTGAACACTGAGTGCAGGATGTCCGACACTTTGGTCAAGATGTACACATCGTTCTCATCCTGTAGAACAAGAAGAATCACGTTGAACATTTACAAAATTGTTTATAATCGTATTTATTAGACAAACTATTTTACTGTAATCCGTTTAAATAATTACCTCGTCTTGTAGTGATTCCTCCACCTGCTCATCATAGTCTTCATCCTGTCTCTTTGCTGTGAAGAACAAAGAATCATTCTGTGAGTATTATGCATAAAACACACTCTTGCTTTTAGTGATGGAGAACTTGTTACAAGAAAAATGCTATGGTGTGCCGTTAAAAAAAAAAAAAGCCTCACTATGTCGGAGCTCCTGGTTCTTGAAATGCTCCTCCAGTTTTCCCTTTAAGATGCCGCCCAGCTCTTCAAAATGCTCGTTGTTCAGACAGCCGTCTCCCATCAGCTCAATGCACTGTAGAGAAAAAACACTTCCATCATCTGCTTCAGAAATCCTATTAAAATGGAAATGCTGCGATGAGACATTTCAGGAAGACGGCGTTACCTTGGCGAAAGAGTGCATGATTTCCGACAGGACGTCTGAGTCTGGCTCCGTGCCGATGGACTTGATGAGAGCGTCGCACATGAAGTGCCACATCTGGGTGAGGTACTCCGGCCCTCGGACCCTCGCACACTCCAGCAGCAGGGGCATGGACTCGGCTGCTGCCACCCGCACACGTGAGTACGTTAAGGAAACGCCACCATAAAGCCTCATATCAATACAAATACATATGCTGACAAGAACAGATCAAAGATGTTAAAGTCTGTGATAAAAGGATATCATCATGGAAGTAGAACTTGAGTAGAGGGACCATCAGCTTCACCACCTGTTCTGTGTACTCCACAAAGCCCTCCTTCAGCTCTTTGGCATAACACACCTGGAAAACAACAACACAGAGTCTCTTAGAAATACATTCGTGCATCTCAGTGTTTTGCTGCTGCATCAGAGTGGACTGCTCACCAGCATCTGGCAGGCGGTGGCCTTCTCCTCCAGGCCGGCCGTCTTGATGCCGAAACTCTGCTGGTCTCCCAGGTTCACAAACTCCCAGCCGTCGTCCTCTGATATGCTCTCCATGTCCTGGGCTAGAGACGGAGAAACACATATTTAAGTATGGCATCTTTCATTCTGTTTTTGGATTAAAATCCCCTATGCTTTTGCATTGTAAGGCCAGTATACATCTGCTGTTACTTACTGTCCAGTAAGGCCACTTCAGGCTTGATGGATGCAGTCTTCATCAGGGGGCCCATCACTACAGGCAGATACTGTTGAAACTCCTTCCCCAGGATCTTACACATCCTGGCCCAAGCTGAGATCATGTATGAGATCTA